AGCTGAGACAGTTACATATCATGGATGAAGATTATGTGGGGTCAAACCTGCGCTGAACCTAGCACCAGACCAGGAGCTGATGGGATACAGAAATTGCCAACTGAAGTGGGAAGTTAGGGAAGACTGAAAGCCACGCATGACCGGGGCCGTTTAGTGAGAGCTAGATCTCCACATGGATTCAAGGACCAAATTAGGCCAGAGGGATGCAACAAGGAAGTGAGAGATGAAGCCACAGGCAGGCTGAGCTCTTGGTGGGACGACAGGAGGGATAAGGGGGAAAAGAATATAGAAGATGGTCTTGCATTATTTGAGAGGTTCATACCCTGTTGACTCAAGTATGATACTGGAGCTAATGCCTTCATCTCACACCCCATGTCAGAAACATTACTTGCAGCTCTGTCATTTCACTGTGATGGGTTGTAATCCCCCACCCAGGGCTTCTCATAGGACATGATGAAAAGTGATAATGAATCCAGGCAAATCCATCACCACTCCCAGCTTGTGCTCTCTAGGACTGGGGATGTGGTGTAAGTGACAGGGCACAATGTCTGCATGTGAGAGGCCCTAGCACCTCATAGCCTCCCATGCACCACCAGTCATGGACCTCGGTACAATATAATAAAAGAAAACCTTTGCCAAGGATGTGGCTTAATGGTAGAGAACCTGCCTTGCATGTGAGAGGCTCTTGGTTGGGTTGGCTCCCCAGTGCCACAAAAACAAACCAAAGCCAAAAACAAGTTTATGTTCTACACCCAAAGCACACAGCCGTGAGACCTCATCCATTTACACAGCCAGCCAAGCTGCTGGACCTGCTGGTATTGTTAATGAGAATGATCTGAGAATGACCAAGTTGACGCTCTCACAATCCCTGCCCTCAGGAGGACCGTCTCATGAACCATTTTGGAGTCATGTGCTCCATCTAGTAGTGAAGTAACTTCAAAGAGCTTGTGACTGACAGCCTGTGCTGGGGTGGAAAGGCCCCAGGCAGCTGACTCTAGTGGCTGCTCAGGAATCCCTCAGTCAGGGTGCAGCACGGAGGCGACATGGCCCCTGTGCTCCCCACCCACCCTTCCTCAACCGGCTCTTTATTACCATGTTATCCGCCCTCTCCACTGTAATCCGAGCATAACTTAAACCCACACAATGCTCCTGAGTCATTGCATGGCTCTTGCCTCACTACTGGCTTCAGTTCCGAGTTCTCCTTCAGAGGCTGTGTCCCAACCCTCACCCTGCCCTCAGAGGCTGTCCTATGTCCCCTCCACCTACAGCTCACCTGTCAGTTCAGCCCTGCCCTGACCTGCTGCTCCAGGGGCAGCCTCGGTTTCCCCCCTTGGGGCCTCTCTTCACCCAGTTCTGTCTGCCTCCACTCTGATGCTCCACACACACCAAGAGGTGTCTTCAGAGGTGGCCTGAAATGGCTCTTTGTCAACATTTAAGGAGCCTAAACTAAAATATGTAAGCAGTTAAATATCTAGAATTTTTAAAAGTATGGCAAGTAGAAAGTATAAGCAATGTTTTCATGACAATAAGAAAGCTATGTTGGGGGCTGGAGTGATAGCACAGCGAATCGGGCATTTGCCTTGCACGAGGTCAACCCAGGTTCCATTCCCAGCATCCCATATGGTCCCCCACGCATCATCAGGAGTAATTCCTGAGTACATGAGCCAGGAGTAATCCCTGTAAATCACCGGGTGTGACCCAAAAAAGCAAAAAGAAAAAAAAAAGAGAAAGCTATGTTCTTTGACATCGTCATTTTGCCTCTGTGACCCTGCACTCAATGGAGGGTGCAGGGATTGGGGGTAGAGGGAGATAACATTATTTATAATAGAGAGGAATAGAAACAAAATAAATATCTAAAAAGAACCTCCACTAGAAATTTTGCTCTTGGGTAGTATTGGATAACATTGGGGACGCTTGGGAAGTAGACCCAGAGTTAAGGGCAAGCTCAGCTATGAATCCAGATTCAAACAGCTCAATTCCCAGCTGTGTGATTTTGGTCAGAATCAGACAATGGCTTCTCTATCCTCTGACTCTTCACTGTTTTGTTGTGACTGCTTTTAGACCACAGCCTGCTGTCCCCATGGTTCTTTCCAACGTATTACTTGGTGTTATTGAGTGACAGTGTGGGGATCATGCAGGATTGAGGATAGAACAAAGGCCTTCTATTTATTGCCCTTGGGGTTTTTACCCCTGCCCTCCTGGTTCTTCATTATTACTTATTTATTTGGTTTGGGGGGGGGCACTCCTGGAAAGTGTACAAGGCTCACTCCTGGTTCTGTGCTTAGGAATCACTTCTGACTGATCTCGGGGAACCCTGTGGGGTAACAGTGTGTAAACAGGAGTCAGTTGCATGCAAGGCAGACAGTTTACCTCCTGTACTGTCTCTCTGGCCCTGATTTATCACCTTGTAAGTGAGATTAATAACTAGAAACATAGCTCAGCTGTGGAGCACATGCTCTGCATATGTGAGGTCCTGGGATCCATCCCAAACACAGCAAAATAAATAAAATGGGGCTAAAACATACGTTGCCTTGTAGTCATGTTATAAGTATCATCATAAAAAACACTTAGCATTGTGCCTGTGTTAGAACCAATTGTTATTCCCACTGTTGAATTGGGTGGATCACTGCTGTAGAAAAATGAGGGCAGATGAGGGAAATAAGCCCAAAAATAAAGGATGTTAAGTCCCTGAGCAGTAGTACAGGGGTTAAGGTGCTTGCCTTTCACATGCCAACTTGGGTTTGATCCCTGGCACCACATATGGTCTTCCAAGTACCACTAGAATTATTCCTAATCACAGAACCGGGAGGAAGCTCTGAGCATTACTCAATGTTCTCCTAAAACAAAACAAAAAAGGAGTTGACTGGAAAAGGGAAGAGGAAGAGATGCTGTCCAGGAATAAAGAACCAGTCTATGAACTCTCAAGAATTTCTCCACCAGGTATACAGACTCACTGATCTAAGTTTCAGTTACAGTTCTCTTTTCTTCGTGGCTTGATTTTTCATGCTTTCCTTGAGAAGTTAGTATAACCATAGGAAAAGCAACTCAGACATGCAACTCCTTGCTTAAGAATCTGGTCACTGATGAGTGGGATGAGATGAGCTGGCATTTGATCCCAGAGCTGCAAGTGGGAGCAGCAATCACCAAGAAGCAGGACAGACCCCTGGTGACAACCTTGAACATATATACCCACCATGGCCATTCACAGCCATTCAGGGCTGCTGGTGCTGAACAGCAACTCTTAACACCTTCAGCCTGACAACATGGCCCTCGCTGGTGGCAAGAAACTCTCTGAGGTGGGAATTAGGAGGTGTGAGTATCTACTTGGCGGTGGAGGGGTGGGGGGCAGCGGGGCGGGCACTCTGGCACTCTGGCTCTCTTCTCTGCTGGAATGCGGGAGCTGTAAAAACGCTCAAGAAAGTAACACTGAAGGAGGAGCCTAGCCCTGGACCAAGCACTCATGGCTCCTCCCAGCCTCTTGTGCTCCCAATTCATGGGAATGTTCAACCAGGGCAGATCCTCTGCCACAGTCTGTCTGCCTTTTTGCAGCCATGAGAACATCTGCCAGAGTTCAAAAGATTCCCCAGTGTCTGGTGGGGGCTTCTGATAGGTGATGTAAAACAGGTCCAGCCTGGACCCCCAGGAGAAGGCAGGCAGGCCCTGAGGAAGTGGCACAAGTTGGAAGTTGGGTGGAGAGAATCAGGAAATGCTAGCTCATGGCCCCTCCTTGGGAACTGGGACCTAGACTCAGGTGAAGCCAAAGGTGCTCATGAGTCTTCCTGCTATACCGACAAGGCGGGTCCACAGGGTGCAGTGTGCAGTGCTTGTCTGGAAGAGAGCCTGAGCCCTGTTTCTGGAGGAAGACAGTGAACACCAAGCCCGATTCCCTCCAACTGACTGACCTTGACCCTGACCTGTGAATACTGATCCCACCCCAAATTCTTTGGTTTGATATATGACTTGGTTACATTGCAGTGAACTTTGATCTGAATTGGGGGAGCAGATGGCAAAGACTTGAGGGAAGAAAGCTGGAGAGGTAGCACAGGGATTAAGGCACTTAGCTTGCATGTGGCTGATCCAGTTTTGATCCCTGACTCTACCCTATGCACCCCTGATTCCAGAGATAGGAGTAAGCCCTGAGCTCAGTCAGGTGTTGCCTCTGAGCCCTGCCAGGTGTTTCCTCAACCCCTCCCCAAATTAAAAAAAAAAAAAAAGATTGTAGCTGTGGTCTAGTTTCTCACAGTTGAGAAATACATTGTCTTCATCTGTGTGGTTTTTAATCCTGTTTGCTTGTTTCTCTCTCACTCTTTCTATCTTTCTCTCTCTCTCTATCTCATTCTGTGTGTCTGTCTCTCTCTTCAAAATTAAAAGGTGAAGGCTTTGACATTGCTTTGCTTGATTTCACATGCTAAAGAATAGCTTGCAGCCATTGTAACAAACTGTTCTGTTTGCTGATGCAAGAGGACACAGCTGCCTGCAGAGTGGCTGTGGCTGAGACTGGTGTTGCTCTGACAGTTCTAAAAGCCTAGTCACCCTCCATGTCCCCCACCCAAGGCTGGGGTGAACATCAGCCCTCAGGGAGGAGAGTGCTCTCTCCTCAGCATCCCTCCTTGAACCACTTCCCATTTTACTGTGTTAATTAAATTCTTTCCAAATTGGCAGGGGTGGGGCCAGTGGTCTCAGCCAACACTCATTAGCTCAGGAAGGAAAAATTCCAGTTCATTGCTTTGAAGATGGAGCTTTATAGCTAAGAAAGAAGTGGAATGGGGCCTGGTTGTGGGAGTTGCCTCTCAGTAAGCAGCCCCTGACTTTTCCTATTCTGAGAGCTCAGGAGAGAGGGAGGGAGGGAGCTCAGAAATGCCCCCAAACAGTGCTCTGCCAGGGCCTGCCTGGTCCCACAGGGGCCCCATGAATGGTTTTCCTGGGCTGGGCCTAAGTCCAGGAACCAATAACGACCTGGAGCCCATGGCCCACAAAAGACCTTTCTGTACTTTCCTTAGTGATGAGATGCCTGGGGGTCCCCACCCGCGTGATCACCAACTTTGACTCTGGCCATGACACTGATGGAAACCTAATCATAGACGAGTACTACGACAACACAGGCAGGATTCTGGAAAACAAGAAGAAGGACACTGTTTGGTGAGAGGCGATCTGCCACTGACTCCTGGGCAAACCTACCCATATGGAGTCAGCTCTTCTTTCCTGAGTGCCCCACCTTTCAGTACCCCAGCACCCCACCTCTCAACACCCCCAGAACTCCACCTTTCAACAACCCCAGGGCCTTCAGCTCCAATACTGAGGCTGAGAGGCAGCTGAATACAAAATCAGTCACTTGGAGTTTACAATCCTCTTGCACAGAGAGCTTCTTTTGGATTATTGGCAATGAATGGATTTCCTTGTTGTTCCCTGCAGCATTTCCTCTTTGCCCCAGGGCTCTGACCACAGAAAAATCTGAAGCTTCATCTCCAAACAGGAAGACCAGGACCATCCTTATTGAGGCAACCACACACCCAGGAAAAGGCCTGAGTTACAGAGACAGACAGACAGACACACACACTCACACACACACACACACACACACACACACACACACACACACACACAGAGAGAGAAAGAGAGACAGAGACAGAGAAAGAGTGAGAGACAGAGACAGAGAGAAAAAGAGAGAATTCTAACTTCACTCTGACAAATGGGCTGGAGCGATAGCACAGTGGATAGGGCATTTGCCTTGCACACGGCCAACCTGGGTTCGATTCCTCCGCCCCTCTCAGAGAGCCTGGCAAGCTACCGAGAGTATCTCACCTGCACCGCAAAGCCTGGAAAGCTCCCCCTGACTTTTTGATATGCCAAAAACAGTAACAACAAGTCTCACAATAGAGACGTTACTGGTGCCCATTCAAGCAAATCAATGAACAATGGGAGGACAGTGCGACAATGTTACAGTGCTGACAAATGGTGGGCAGAGGGAAGCCCTTTCCTGGGTAGAAGCCAAGTCTGTCTTCCTAGCACCCATCACTCACCGAGCCCCAGCCCTGCCCTGCTCCAGAAAGAATACAAACCCTCCAGCCTCTTTTGCTGCAATGTCCACTAACTCTGCTGACTCCTCCCACAGGAATTACCACGTGTGGAATGAGTGCTGGATGGCCAGGAAGGACCTCCCAGCCGGATACGGAGGCTGGCAGGTGCTGGATGCCACACCCCAGGAGACGAGCAATGGTGAGAATCTCAAAGAAAGGTGAACCCCTCATCTCTATGACCCTCTCCTCAAGCTTGGCCCCTGTTGCAGAGCCCTTCAGGCTTCCCTGTTCTCCCACAGGCCTCTACTGCTGTGGCCCAGCCTCCGTCAGGGCCATCAAAGAGGGAGAGGTGGACCTGAAATATGACACACCCTTTGCCTTCTCCATGGTGAATGCTGACTGCATGTCCTGGCTGGTCTATGGAGGGAAGGAGCAGAAATTGTACCGGGACACAAGCACTGTTGGCAACTTCATCAGCACCAAGAGCATCCAGAGTGATGATCGGGATGATATCACAGAGAACTACAAGTATGGGGAAGGTACGACTAAGCCAGCCTCATAGGCAGCCCCACCCTTGGCACCATCCACCAGCCTTCCCCAAGGGGCCCCTGCCTTCTGGGGACGGTCACTATGCAGGACCGGGTCCACTGGCTCCTCAGCTTTTCAGTTTAAGGTCCCAGTTGAGGTGTCCTCACTGCCTCCTGCCTCATGCTCACCCTAATCCCCATTTCACAGGCCAGTGAGTGCCCCATATAGAGTCCAGAAGCTATCTGCATAGATTGTAGGGTCACTGATGGGTATCCCCCAAACAGGATATAAACCTTTGACCCTTGACTTCTAGAAAAATCAACATCCCACAGAAAATGATGAGGGATTTAGTAAACTCTTTCCTATTGATCAATTGAACTCTTTTTACTTAACTGTTTCATTCATTGTGAGTTTTGTTGTTTCTTGTTTGTCACTTTTTTTTTTTTAGTTTTCGGGCCACACCTGGCAGTGCTGGGAGCTATTCATGGCTGTGTGCTCTGGGCACCAAACAGTGCCAGGGATAAAGCCCAAGCTCCTATATACAGAGCATGCACTCAGTCCTCTGAGCCATCTGTCCAATTGGTTGTGTTTCATTCAGTGTTTGGGAAAGGCCAGATCACCACCCAGCACCAGGGCTGATGTGAGGTCAAATGCACCTGGACAAGTGGCTACAGAGATCGTACAGAGGATAAGGGACTTGCCTTGCACACTGCTGACACAGGTTCAATTTCTGACACTCCATGGGTCTCCTGAGTCCCATCAGAAAGAAAATGTGAGCACAGTGCCAGGAGTGAGCCTGAGCACCATTGGATGTGCTCAAGACAAACAAGCAAAAAAACGAAACAAACAAAAACCCGATGTACCCTGACCCCTCTCCTTGCTCCTCCCCACCTCCACACAGCACCCTTCCTGCACAGAATGGTTCCGGGAGGCTGGGCCTAGCAGGAGCTCCTTCCCTAGGTCAGTACCGGGAAGGGAGCTCATTCCTGAGAACTGAGAAAACCAACCACCAAGGAGCAAGCAAACAGCTCCTCTGCGGGGGCCAGAAGCAGGGCGAGAAGCAGGAGCCACGAAACCGCAGAGCAGGAGTAGGGCGGGGTGGGGGGGGTGGCTTGTGGTTTGTCCAAGTGGATTTTCAGGACTGCCACCGGAGAGTGAGCAAGAACAAGTGTGACAAGGAGGGCAGGAGTGGAGTGCAGGGCCTTCCCCCAGCACGGTGGTGACAAGTAATGCCCATGTCAATGTCCCAGATTATCATTTTTCTGAAATTTAAATTGTTCTATAATTTTTATTCTTCACACAGCGGGTAGGGCGTTTGCCTTGCACATAGCCGACCCGGGTTTGATTCCTCTGTCCCTCTCAGAGAGCCTGGCAAGCTACCGAGAGTATCCCACCAGCACGGGAGAGCCTGGAAAACTCCCCGTGGCATATTCAATATGCCAAAAACAGTAACAATAAGTCTCACAGTGGAGACATTACTGGTGCTAGCTCAAGCAAATCGATCAACAATGGGAAGACAGTGCTACAGTGATTCCTTTAAAAAAATATGTATTTGTTTTTCAAAATCTGGCGGTTCTCCTCAGCATAAGGTGTGGAACAGCACAGATTTAGCTGCCTCCACCCTAGAGGCAAAGGGGTTGGATTATTGATCCACCAAGCCCTGTCAGTCAGGCTGACTTGTGCTGTAAATCCTTTTGCACACATGGCCAGTCCTGTGCAGGGACTGAACCTGCTTTGAAGTCAGAATGTGCATCAGAGAGGGTCAGGTGGTAGAAGTTGGAATGAAGGTGCATGGCACTGTCCTGGTAAGTGTCATGGAGCTGTGGGTAGGGAATTTGCAGCATTGCCACCAGAGGATTCCTCCATAAATTGGGAGCATTTGGGATTCTATTCTGAGATTTGAGTGCCCTGTACTCTTGAATAATGATGACCTTGGTTAAGAACTCTCGTATAACTACTGACTTACCCAAAACTTTTAACTGACACATAAAGACCTGATGAACCCATATTTTGTATGTTCTATGTATGATTACAGTAGTTTTAAATTTTTTAAATTTAGTCACCATAATTTGCTCGAGCGGGCCCAGTAACGTCTCCATTGGAGACTTTGTTGTTACTGTGTCTGGCATATCGAATACTCTCAGTAGCTTGCCGGGCTCTCCGAGAGGGGCGGAGGAATCGAACTCGGGTCGGCCATGTTGGCCACTTGTAAGGCGAACGCCCTACCCGCTGTGCTATCGCTCCAGCTAGCACAGCGGGTAGGGCGTTCGCCTTACACGCGGCCAACATGGCCGACCCGAGTTCGATTCCTCCACCCCTCTCGGAGAGCCCGGCAAGCTACCGAGAGTATTCGATATGCCAGACACAGTAACAACAAAGTCTCCAATGGAGACGTTACTGGGCCCGCTCGAGCAAATCGACGATCAACGGGAGGGTCTTTACCTTACCTTACCTAGTCACCATAATTTACAATCCTATTTATAATAAAAGTTTCAGTCTTACTGTACTCAAAACCCACCAGTGTCAGCATCCCTCTACCAATGTCTCAGGGTCCCCTTCTAGGCTCCTACCTCTTTAAAAAATTAATTTAAAATTTCTTGATTTATTATAGTGTCCAAGATCACTGACCAATACCCTTAAGTTACTTTGGTCCACCATATCATCCCCCACCTACACACTACCCTTTTTCTTCGTCTTCTCATTTCTGTAATCTAGGGCTAAGAATTTGTCATCACTTGGTAACTTCCCTTGTCTTATTGCTCTATATATCACAGACAAGTGAGATAATCCAGTATCTGTCTACCTCTGGTGTACTGTGTTCAACGTGATACCCACCAGTTCCGTTCAAGTTGCAGCAAACTACATGATTTCACCTTTTTTGCACTTCCTTGTGTACATATAGTATTCTTACAATAAAGTAGGCTAGAGAAAAGAAAATATCATGGGGCCAGAGAGATAGTAAGCTGTAGGATTCTTGCCTTGCACATGGCTGACCTGGGTTTGCTCCCCCCGCATCTCATATGGTCCCCAAGCACTGTGAGGAGTGATTCCTGAGGATCACTAAGTATGATCCAAATCCTGCTCCCCTGCAAAAAAATGAAAGAAAGAAAATGTCATTACAAAATCACAAAGAAGAAAAGAATAAATTTCCATTACTGTTCTATATTTATTAATCATCTATTTGTAAGATAAGTCATCTGTCAATAGCTACATCATTGTTGTCTTATATTTTTCAAAAAACACCATAGTTATTATGTGCATTGCTAACACTGGACATCAAAAATGAAAAGATAAAATGAAAAAGAAATTCACATTTGTTTACAGTTCATACATTGACATGCTTTTTTTTTTTTCAATTCACATATGACATGAACCTTCTCAATTCAAACCTGTGCTGTTTGTTCAAGGCCAGCTGTGTTCTATCTCCTCTCACCCACCCACCTGGCAGGATCTGGGGGTCCACAGGCCCCATAATGCCTTACATAGGTTTGCTCCCTAGCACCTCTTCCTCATCACTACCCCCCAAGTAAAACTATAGAACAGTATTCACATACATCCCAGCCAGAGTTCTTTGGCACTGAGCTGGCTGCTCTGAAATCTCAGCTTGTCTACATTTCTTTTGTCTTTTTTTTTTCTTTGCTATTCCATTTCCAGCATTTGTCTATACCTGCCGGGTGATTTGGTTCAGGAAAGGCAAATCATAGTTTGTGGCTTGTTGATTTTAAGGTGCAACATGGTAGGTACCGGTCTTTTCCTCCAGGAGAGCAGGATAGAATATAGTAGTCCTAAGAACAGATGTTGGAGTTGGGAACATCTGGTTTGCAACTGAACTTGTAAGTTGTGTAGCTTGGTGAAGAACATGGTCTTCTCTGAGCTCCCTCACCTGGAAGAAGATAATAATAGGAAGATGATGACTACTGACATGGCTCTATCATGGCTGACGGACATGAAAGGGATCTTGTGCTGGCCCTGGTTTAATGCCTAGAAAGCAGGTGGGGAATGTCTGGAGACAAACCTGGCAGTGTGGGAACTCCTGGGTGGAAGGATGCAGCAGATTTCAGCTTTGGCTCACCTCTGGGGCAGCGCAGCTCACCTTTCCAGTGCTCTGCCTTTGCAGGTTCCCCTGAGGAGAGGCGGGTGTTTCTGAAGGCTCTGCAGAAGCTGAAGGCCAGGAGGTCCCACAGCTCCCACCCTGCAGAGCTGCAGCCCTCCCAGCCCCCACCACTCAGCAGAACTAGCCCTCGGGGCCTCGGAAACCCACCGCCTCAGCCCAGCGACGTCATGCAGGTCTCCCTGAGATTCCAGCTGCTCGACCCACCCAACATGGGCCAGGACATACGGTTCGTCCTGCTGGCTCTCAACATGTCGTCCCAGTTCAAGGACCTCAAGGTGAACCTGAGTGCCCAGTCCCTGCTGCACGACGGCAGCCCCCTGGCCCCATTCTGGCAGGACACAGCCTTCTTCACGCTCGCTCCTAAAGAAGGTACCAGGGTGTGGGGAAGGCCGGCACTGTGGGTGAGGACAGGCCAGTGGGGCCAGGTAGGCAGCACAGGGTGGGGAACAGACCCCAGTGGAGAGGCCATTCTGTCCCCTCCTCTCCATCTCTCCTTCTACCAGAGGACACTTGTCACCTCTCTAAACATCTCTGTCTCTGTCTCTTTTTACTCTCCTTTGGACTATACCCAGAGGTTACTCCTGGCTCTGAGATCAGAAGTCACTCCTTGGGAAGCAAGGGATCTCAGGAGGTCATATGTGGTGACCCCCTGTTTTGAAATGAAGTTGGTAACCACAGTGGTGACCAAGCGCCTTACTTCTGTCCTTTGTCTCCAGCCTTCTGCTTCTCCTGTGTTAATGAGGTGCTGGTTCGGGAGGGAGAGGCCTCTTCACCTCTTCATTGCACTGTCCCCCTCTGCAAGGCTGGAGCCTGCTTTCCAGGGGCTCAGTGTCTATTCCCACTCCTGTCAAGAGATCCAGCCTGGGCCCTGCTGCTCCTCTGCTTAGGCTCACTTCATCCTTGTATTCTCTCCCCAGCCAAGAGCCATCCCTGCCTGGTCCCCTACACCCAGTACAACCAGTACCTGTCCACGGACAAGGTGATCCGCCTCAGTGCCCTTGGTGAAGAGAAGAACTGCCCCGAGAAGATCTTGGTGAACAAGATGATCACTCTAGCCTACCCCGGCATCATGATCAATGTAGGCCAGAACCCCAGAAGGGCTACAGCAAGGAGGAAGGGGATCTGGATAGGAAGGGGTGGGGTCCTCTGAGATTGGGCATCCTTCCTTTCCATGGATTCTTCTGGTGCCCTGAGAATCCTCCCCACCAGCAGCGAGGGGGATCTGAAAAGCTGGGTGTGGCTTACATCTTCTTGCACTGCAAGAGGCCCTAATGCAGGACCATGAGCCAATGGAAAGGCGAGGAGAGCCCACTCTGCTCCCGCCACCCCATCCCATCTGCCTTCAGTATGAACTCTGAGCCCTCCTTCCCACCCCTCACCCAACCCCTCATCACCCCCCACACACACACTCACACACTCACACACACACACATGCACACACACTGAAGATCTGCATAGAAGCGAAGAACTCACCCATCCCTCCTTCCAGTGAAGTCTCCCCAATAACAAGCAGCTTCCTCTAGGGGGCTCCCGGGAGGCCACCAGCCCTAACTGGGTGTAGCTGGCAAGCTAGGCCCTCTGTAGCAAGGTTTTCCAGAAGCACATTCCCTGGGGCTGTTTCTATCTCTGTCTGCCCTGCCTGCTCGCTCTCACTCTCCCTCATATACCAGGCAGAGCACCAGTGAGGGAGGGATTATGACAGGAAGAAAGAAAGGCTTGGAGCAGGATTGCAAGGAGAAGAAACAATTCAAAATTACCAAAGATTCTAGCCACTCAAATTATGCATAGCACAAGGGAGTTCCTGGTTATTTCACATGTGGGTGAAACTCTGGAGCAGAGAGACATAACTGGAGATTCTAACTCATCAAACCTTGACCCCAGAGTGATTGTACAGTGGGGAGAGTGTTTGTCTCACACACAGCCAACTCGGGTTCAATTCCCAGTATCCCATATAGTCTTCAGAGCCCTGCCAGGGGAAGAATCCCTTAGTGCAGAGCTAGGAGTAAGCTCTGAGCACAGCTCGGTGGGGGTCCCCCAAAAAACAAACTGGTCCATCAAACCTCTCCATATTTCTGGGTTGATTGAATGGTTGTAAAATAAACATATTGTTTGGTTTTGATGTCACACCAGGCAGTGTTTAGGGGTTACTTGTGGCTCAGAGGAGATTGGCCCAGGGAACTCAAATCTGGCTCTCCTGCATACAAAGGATAGTTTCAGTCCACTGAGCTATTCCTTCCCCATAAATGATACCAAATATTTTGCAGAAATATTCATTGTGTATAAATAAAGCAAAAATTTCTCAGAGGAGTACTTGTGATGAACACAAACAATTTCCTCTGTTTGATTTTTAAAATCAGGCAATGACCATCTGTTAGGTTGGTTTTTAGCCATGGTTGGTGAAACACAGGGCGGGTAAGCCTAACTCTTTCGGAACCAGACTCAGGCACCAGCAGCCTCCAGAACTATTTGGTGACTTGATAATGAGGCTAATCCCTTCCCGATCCTCTCCTTTCTCTGTGCAGGTTTTAGGACCAGCTGTTGTAAACCAGCCACTCTCGGTGCAGGTAATTTTTTCAAACCCCCTTCTGGAGCCTGTGGCTGACTGTGTGCTGACAGTGGAAGGAAGTGGCCTCTTCAAGAAACAGCAGAGAGTCCTGTGAGCTCACCTTGCATCTTGTCTCCCCCATCTACAGGGGTGGGGGGAACTCTACTTCTTTCTGGACAAAGGCTCCAGGGCAGGCTTGGAGAACGTCAGGGAAGGCTGAGTGAAAAAGATTTCTGGTTTTATTTATTTTTTTATTTCATTTTTTGGTCACACCAGGTGGTGCTCAGAGCTTACTCCTGGCTCTGCACTCAGGGATCACTCCTGGTAGGGCTCAGGGGGCCATATGGGATGAAAATGCCCTTCCTGCTGTGCTATCTCTATGGTCTCAAGGTTGAACAAAAAAGGACTTTGGGTTCAAATTCTGCCTCCGTTTTCTGACAGTGCCCTTTCTCTGCTACAGCATTGGAATCCTTAAACCCCAACACAGAGCCAGCATCACTCTGGAAACGGTCCCTTTCAAGAGTGGTCAGAGGCAGATTCAAGCCAACCTGAGCAGCGACAAGTTTAAGGACATCAAGGGCTACAAGATGGTCTATGTAGACTGTGGATTCTAGGATCTGGAAGAGTCAATTTCAGGAAAAGGAACCGTTTCAAATGCAGCCAGGCCACCTTCAGCACCATGGAGGCTACACGGGATTTCAACAGGACCAGCAAAGTGGATGGTGGTGCTGGACAGTTCCCAGTTTTTACATTGCTCCCCCAAACTCTGTTCAGGGCCTGAGGATTTCAGGAGTCTACTCCAGAAGCATAGATGTCTCAGAACACTGGCTGAACTAGACTTAACTGTCTCCCTCTCATCCCCCAATCATCTTCCCAACCCCCAGACAAGAAAAGAGGCCTGGCTACACAGCTCAGTTCTTTTGTTGTTATAGTAGCTAATTTCCTTGTACCAATAAACAACAGTCCTTGTTCTCCTTTGCACCTGTGTAATTGTCACTCTTATTCCACCGGTTCTCTGTCCTGGGATTATGTCAATATCTGAGCCCACTCACTCAAGAAAAAAAATGGTTTTGATTCTTTTTGTTTTGGGGATGACAGCTGGGCTCAGAGGCCACTCCAAGTAGTGCTGGGGGACCATGTGATGCCAGGGACCAAGCCAGGAGCTCCTGTATGCAAAGCAGGTACTCCGTCCCTGGAGCTCTCTCTCCAGTCCACATTTAAGAAATATTTATTGAGTGCCTAGTATGTGCCCAAACATTTATGAATATGGGGATTAGGCTGTCAACAAAAGCCCTGCCCCTGTGGAGCTTATATTCAGGATGGAGAAAGGGACCAGAGCAGACAAGAAACATGTCAACACAGAAGTAAGGAACTTACAATGTGTTGGTCATAAGCCTGTTAGCCAAACAAAATCATTTATAGGTCCTTTTTCTATATGTCTCCTATGCCTTGGTGTTTCAGGGAAAGGCCTGGAAGTTTTCTCTCTTGTCCTGCCTTTGACTCCTTTCCCATAGCACATCCAAGAAGCTTCAGTCTAAACAGTTCCAGTTTCTGGATTGCACTGCTCTATCACAAGGACCAGGGAAAGCATGGAGAGGGTGGAGGACAGTGTGGCACGCAGGTGCTTGCTTTTCTCCACACACGGAAGAAAGCATAGCGCGGTGCCCTCCAGGCATTGGTTCCACAACTGGGACAGCTGAGCATACACTAAATACAGGCACATTAGCTGAAGTTAAGTACTTCTATTATAGCTAAACAAAAGGGTGAGCATAGTTAATCAGAGGGCTAGGAGAGGGCGTGGAGGGAATTTCATCAGAGGTTGCTAATCCTGTTAAAGACAAGGACGAAAACCAGGAGAATCCTTCCAGGCAGCTTATAATTATTTCATTCTATAATTCCCGCCTGACAATCATGAAAATGCTTTGAGGAAAACAACCTGGAGGGGTACATCTTCAGATAAAGTGTGTGGAATATTTCAGTTTCCATACCCTTGTACCTGTCCACCAGTCCTGATTTTAACATTACATTCATTAACTCTATCATTCAGGGCCAAGTGCAGTAGTACAATAGGTAGGGTGCCTGCCTAGCATATGGCTGACACCAGGCATCCCATGTGGTCCCCAAACCCTGCCAAGTGATCCCTGAGCTCAGAGCCAGGAGTAAACCCTGAGCATCACTGGGTCTGGCCCCAAACCCTGTATATATATATATATATATATATATATATATATATACACATATATATGTATATATATATATTATATGTGTGTGAGTGTGTTTGTGTGTGTATTTGACATATTTAAATATATATTAGAGTATATGTTTGAATATGTATTCACATATATATGTATTAGAACATACATATATATTATATATTGAGTTTCTACTGGAGCTATACCCTGAGGTAGGCATGGAGGACACAAAGAGGACCAGGAACTACCCGTAGGAGCTCAAGTGAAAACCTGTGAAGAATGAAATACAAATGGGAAATCAGCATAGAGTGGCACAAACCCAGATGAGAGCAGGGCGTAATGGGAACACAAGGAGTGACAACTAGTCCAGTTTGAGACTGTGGATCTAGTAAGACCTCCTAAAAAGTGTGGCATTTAAACTGAACACTTGAAAAAAACCCACAAACATTTAAAAGAAAATAAGTTTGCTGAATTGGGGTGGAGTAAAGCTGTAGAGTTTCTGCTTGCTGTTCAGTTGGTTCTAGATTAGAGCAGGGTGAGGGGTGGAGGGCATTGGATCAAGTAGGAGGAGGAAATGAGGCAGGGAGTGAAGAGCTTCTAGTGGAAGTCTAAGGAGTCTGAAGCAAAGATCTTCAGGCATTTACTTCTTAAAGTCTTGCATAGGTGGTACGGCAAGTGATATCAATTGCTTAAGGTCGATTTTATTTTGCACAGCGGCTCAAACTTTGTGATTAACAAGCACTTAAAGGACAAAGTGTTCTGCACCTTGGAGACCAGTTCAGAACCTGCCACTTTTCCAATTCTAGATTAGCTGTTTTCCCCTTCGATTTTAAAAAAATTATTTAATATGTCTTCTAGCTTCCATTTATGTCATTTATTCTTACTTTTCTCCTTTGGAAATAATGTGTCATAGGACAGAGGTCAATGAAAAAGATGAGCACATGCTTTGAGCACAGCAGGCCTGATTCAATTCCCACCGCCTGGTCCCCTGAGCAGTGCCAGAAGCAATTCCCTAGCACCAAGCCAGAAGTAGATTCTGTCCACCACTGGGTGTGGCCCAAAAACAAAAGGAAATTAAAATGTTTTTCTCAGGCTCATTTAAGATTTTAAAAACAAACAGGCATAAAGTATTTAGCACTTGTTAAAATGGTGAGTTTAATTTTAGAACTTTCTGAGCATCATGTCATCAAGCATCCCTTCTGCTTAACTTTTTCTCCGTCTCTCAGTTGTGTCCTCTGATAAAGGCTATTCATTTTGCCAGATCCCTTCTCAGGCTGTCTTTTAGCAGCTATGAATTAGCCAGTGTCCCAGAGGGAAACGGGATCTGGTCCACCTCCCTTCTCTGTGCCACTACCTTGGATAACTTATGACAGATATTTAAAATATTCACTCAAGTTTTTTTTTATTTATTCTCAAGAGGAGACATGAAATGAAGCTAGTCCACTGTATAGAAGCAGAAATGCTTAAAAAATTATAAAAAGAAGGTTTAGGGGTCAGAGAGCTAGTACAGCAGATAAGGCATTTGCCTTGCACACTGCCAGCCTGGTTTTGATCCCCTGCACCAGGAGTGATCCCTGAATGCAGAGCCAGGATTAATGCCCAAGCACTGTAGGATGGTACCCCAAAACAAAATTAAAAAAAAAGAAGTTTCCATGATCTGGATACTGCCTAAGGTAAAACCACATGTGTGGGATCTGAGCTGAAAGACCCTAGTTTATGTCCAATCTTGATCATAAATTGTGAGATCCTGGAACGATTCCCTTCCAAAGTCTAGTGTGTGGATAGGTGGTTGTGAGGTGCCTGTTTAGTCTCACCCTTGGGTTTGATTTATCTCCTTCTCTATTCAATTTTCATGTTTGTATCATTTTAATATATGCTTTGAAACATCACATTTCATTATTAGTCATCTTAATTTTTTCTGGAAAAAGACAGAATTACTTGGTTTCTTCATTAATCAAAAATTTAACTATTCTAAAATAAAAATATTTATTTTAAATAAAATATATTTATTTAAATATATTTATTTAAATAAAATATATTTATTTTAAAATAAAAATATTTATTTTAAAATAAAATAAGCATGCTTACTCCCTGGACCTGTTTTCTCATCAATAAAGTTAGATAACAATGATCTGTTATTTAGTTAAAAGATTGAGGTTCAAATCATATGAGACTATATAATATATATATATGAAGTGCTTTGTAAAGCAAAGTACCGGCACAGTTCCTTTGAACCTGGAGTCTAGTTGCAATTTCTCTTCTTTGTCCTCTAGCTTCTATAGCATGTTTTGCCAGTTTAGCCACCCATAATTCGTCACATCTACTTCCATCTTCTCCCACAGAGAAGGCCACCATCATCTCTCACTAGGACCACTAAATAGTCCCTTGCTGGTCCTCTCTCTTCGATATCTGCACCCTATAAATATCTTTCCTATTTTAGCCAGTGTGGTATTTAAAAATCGTGAATCTGATCATGCCACTCCCCTACTTATAATACCATCCATTAGCTTCCACTACTCTGAGGACACAATTCAAAATTCTTAACGCTCTAAGATTTCATCCTGACCTTAACTCTCTCCATTCTGTGACTAGGTCCTGCTGGCTTTCTTAATTGCTCCCTGTCTTAGGATCTATTTGTGGTAGAGGTGGCAGCAGTGTCCATTTCCAGGGATATCAGTGAGGTTGGCAGGGAAAAGAGGCAGCTATCAGGGGTGGCACATGGTGCCAGAGATTAATCCAGGACCTTACACAGTGTGAGGTCTTTCTACAGTAAAGTTGAAGAGATCATCCATAGGGGCTGCGATAATAATGGGGGTCAGGGGGCCAGGTGCAATTTGGAATGCTTTTTTTTTTTGGCTTCTTGGGTCATACCTGGCAATGTTCAGGGGTTACTCCTGGCTCTACACTCAGGAATTATTCCTGGCGGAGCATAAGGGATGCCTGGTCGTCCATGTGCAAGGAAAACACCCTACCCGCTGTACTATCACTCCAGTCCTAGAAATGTTTTCTATTGGTTCACTATGAGAAGGTAGATTTCCATGAGGATATTGAGTGGTTTTATTTTTCTTTCTGAAAAGGGACAACCAGCTGAAAAATGGTGGGGTCCTCTGATCTACCACTTGAGCCACATGCTTGACTCCAGGGCCATTGCGCTTGTTCTCTGCCTCTCGCCGCATGCCTCATAGCCTTAGTAATTACTATTTATTCTTCCCATTTCTAAGCATTGCTATCACTTTCTCAAGGAAGTATTCCTAGCCTTCAAACCTGGGTCCTAAAACTCAGGATGGTGGTTTTTTGTTTTTGGTTTTGGTTTTGGTTTTTTTTTTGGTAGTAGTACTTATCACAAAGGCAAGTAAATTATCACTCATGTAGGCACTCAGTGAAGTCTGTTTCTCTTTGCTGGATGTATAAGCTCCTTGGGGCCAGGACACATCTATCTAATCGATTGCTGTATAACCATGCTTAACACATTCACACTCCCAGCACACATTAGTGCTCGATAAATATTTGGGTCATGAATGATATGTGAATTCTTTTGACTGCACACTGATTGAAGACTTGTTTTTCTGCCAGAGGCTAGGGAGTTGAAAAGTGTGGGTGCTGTAGGAAGCAGGACAGATCTTTCCAGTCATTCTGCTTTCCATATTCCTCCCACTTCCCACTTACCTTTCTCCAGTTTTTTGTTTGTTTGTGAGCCACATTTGGAGGTCCTCAGGACTGACTCCTGGCTCTGGGCTCAGGGATCACTCCTGGCAAGGACCATACGGGATGCTGGGAAATTAGCCCAGGTTAGCTGTGTGCAAGGTAAACTCCTTACCCACAGTACTATCTCTCCAGCCTTACCTTTCTCCAGTTTAATCACAACAGAGCAGTCTCTGCCTCGTCATGGGCCCCTGCAAAAGTGCACCAGTCAGTGGATATTTGTGGAGCTTCATGGGAAGAGAAGAAAATCTTCTCAAGAAAGAGAAGATTCTCTTTGTTCATATTAAAAGTGGAATATCCTCAAAAGTGAACGAGCCCATCCCCCCACATTGCCCTCCCAAATATGGGGGTTCAGAGTGGCGAACAGCGTTATAGTTTTTTCTTTTCATATAATGTTCTAACACCCTTCCTTTTACCAGTGTACATATCCCACTACCAATGTCCCCAATTTTCCTCCCTCCCCAGCACCCCTCTCCCCCATTATGGCAAGCACTTTTCTCTCTCTCTCTCTCTCTCTCTCTCTCTCTCTCTCTCTCTCTCCTTTTGAACATTATGGTTTGCAATACAGATCCTTATAGTTTTTTCTCACTCTTGCATTTTTTAATGTTCAAAGTATTAATAACCACATATTCTCGTGGCAAAAAGGTAGTAATTCCTAAGCTCTGCATGTCCTGTTACAGAAGCAATAATTTTCCAGAAATACTCTATATAAATAAACACCAGAAAATGTGTTTTATATGCAAATATACATATTCTCACACAGTGTATGGGGAGAAGAGAATATATAACCTGTGATAATAGTATATATTAGAGTAATATATAGTAGAACAGCATGTTTTTAACATGGTATTATATAATTTGTTTTTTACATTTGACAATATAACTTGGAGATTAATACATATTTTTATAGAGAGCTATTCATTCTTTTTTGCTCAATTTAATGACCTATAATTCATTACTTGTTATTTATGAATATGCACGTAGTTTCCAATAATTTTCAATTATAAATACCAGTGTAGTAAATGTTTGCATAAAGTCTTATTTTACACATGTTTTGTTATTTGCAAGATAGAATATCTAAAAGTAGAATGGATAAATTAAAAGTATATATTTTAAGGTTCTGGCAGATATCACATAATTTCCCTTTATAAATATGCCCCAATTGGTAGTTCTACCACTACTATGATATTTTCCCAAATTATCCTTGTTAATTTGATAGGTTAAAAAATTCTACCTCAGCATGGTTTTATTTTTCATTTATATTAAGTAAATAGTAAGAGTGAATATATTTCCATATATCTAGGAGAAATGTGATTTTCCTTTTCTTGAATTTTAACATCATATCCCTCACCCACTTTGGGGTTTTTTTGGAGCCACACTTTGGGTGCTTAGGACGTAGGACTTAGGACTCTGCACTCAGGGATCATTCCTGGTGGAGTTCAGGGCACCATATGTGTTGCTGGGGATCAAATCCCAGTTAGCCACATTCAAGGCAATCTCCTTACCTGCTGCACTATATCTCTCCTTCAAACAATATTTCTCATGAAGAACTGGCAGAAGATGAGAAGTCTGAAACTTAATTTTTTTACACATAATGATATTTTGTAACAGTTGGTGGGTGTCGCACCCACCAACTGGCCCCCTGGCGCCGTCTAATCCCATCAGCGGCCAAGACTCTGAGACTATAAAAACCAGCTCCCGGAACCGCGCGGCCGCAAATGCATCTTATTATGACATCTCATTCCTACTTTGATAAACTGGCAGGCTACCGAATGTAGCCTGCCCACACGGCAGAGTCTGGCAAACTCCCCATGGCGTACCCAATATGCCAAATACCAGTAACAATGATGGGGCTCATTCTCCTAAAGAGCCTTGAATATAATCTCAGGGCAAGGATGAAGGAAACGTTACTGGGACCTGCTCGAGGCAATTGACGAATAACAGGATGATCTGTGATCTGTGATCTGTAATCTGATATTTTACCAAAGTTCAAAGCTTTGAAAGTATAAAAGAGGAAAAAACAAAACAAAACAAAAAAGAGTAAAACAGCAGAAAAAAATTACCCTCCTTCCCCAGACCTCAGACTTCCTCCCTACAATGCAACCAACATCCTTTGTTGCTTCTGACCTTACCAGAAGAAGACTTATGTAGAAGGCCAGGTAACTGGACTTAGAAAGCCAAACAGAGCAGCTTTTAAAGACCCTCCTCTGTGTCTTGTCTTCTCCCAGAGAAAACAAGTAGGAATAAAAAAGACAAAGACCTTTCATTCCAAAATAGCTCCAAGCCTTCTCTGAGTGCCTCAGACCCAGCACTAAGCAGAGCTGGGACCACAGCTTTTGCTTCTAGGACATTTATTTCTCACCAACAAATTCTATCTCCTTATCTGTTTCCCACAGAAGAATCCCAGACATACAGGTTCTCTTTTAATATTATCAAAACAGCCCACAGATGTCTCGCAACTTGCTTAGGGCCTGAGATGCAGAGTTGGATATGGGTCCAGTGTGCAGAGGAGTCTGCTCTTCCAGAGTCCTGCTCGGTACAGTTCAGGTAATAATGCTGCGGGTAAGGCACTACTGAGCAACAGGCTTACAGGTTTCTTCTGAGCGTCTCTAGCTGACAGATCTCCCCACTCCACCCCCAACTCCATACCCCTGTTTGGGCCTCAGGCACAAGAGATAAAATGAAAAAAAGGTTCCGCCCAACAGCTGGTCCAAGAGATACCAGTGGGGAGCATGTAGGAGAGAAAAACCCGGTCACAGAGCTCACGGACCTAATAGGGGGAAACCCCACTCTTTACAGTCTTACGCCAATAAAAGCACCTCCATTTCCTGTCTGGAAGACAGATTCAAAGAGGGAGCCAGAGCGAGAGTTCAAGACAGTCATTTCCTGTGGTCAAGTGGATAAGAGCAGCCTACAGCCATGGGACAGGGTGAGCCAAGCAGCTCTCCAGGGGCTGACTGTATTGTCAGTAGCCCCTCCAATCTTCTGTCTTTTCATGAAAGGAATTAGAGTATGATAAAAGTGATGGAGGAGTGATAGTGTGAATGAGGGTAAAGTTAATGGATGACAGAGGGATGGTGGGTAACTATGGTGAGGTAGATAGTGGGTCATGATAGTGGTGGGGCTATAATGGGGCTATCACGAGGGGCTAGTCGATAGGAGCTGCTGCTGATCGAGGGGCTGTGGTGTGGGCGTGGTAGAGGGGGCTGCTAGGGCTGGAAGGGATGGTGATAGGGCTCTAGTTGGGGAGGTGGTGGGTGCTGTAGTAATGATACTGGTGGTGTGGCTCTAAAGAGGCTGTTATTATTATATTGGTGACAACAGTGGTAATGGTGGATGTGATGTTGGTGGTTAACATGGATTTATATTCTTATTATATTAACATGACTCCTTTCACTGAACTGTGGCAATTATGAGAAATGACCCTAGGGAATATGAGAGTGTCACACAGTCAAATATGAAAGGGAGATAGGTGTATGGGGAGTCAACTAAAGGGGGCAGAGGCATAAAGCCAGAGGTAAAGAAACAAAAGCAAGACTCAGTATGAGCTCAGGTGTAAAGCACTTATACTACATATATCGGGTCCTGGGTTCAATTTCTGTGACCAACCAACACAAAAGACAAATAAACAAAAAAAAACAGAGGCCTGACTGGCATTCTGGTGGTGGCTGTGGTACACTAATATTAAATGCCTAAAACATTACTGTAATATTATTGTAAAATGTGATACTCAACCTTAAAAAGAATGAAGAGAAAAGAAAGAAGGGAAAAGGAAAAAAAAGAAAGCAAGTAAATAGATCTACCCAAAGGATACAGAAATCTCAGGAACCTCTTCAAGGGTTTATTACAGTATTTACAAGTCTCTTTGTAAAGTCTTATGGTAAAATAAGAATTACCAAATAGGCCATCACAGTACTCTTGGACTCCCTTTTTGCAGAGATTTTTTCTAGGCTGCAACAGTGGGTTTGCTAACTATTTGGGCCAAGTTCCAGTGAGTTGATTCCACTTTCTGGGCCTCATTCTCATTGATAAGACAATATTTGGGCACAGTTATTTCAAAACAATCTCTAAAAATTTTCCAATTGTATATTAAGAAAAAAATGAGTAGGGTTGAGCCAGATACTTTATTGTTCATAATTTTTGGATTAGCAACAGAAAGAGGAGGTAAACATTAAGAATAAGCAATATTTTAAACAGCAAAAATAACTCACAATTAATTGGACTTACTATGTGTTTGACTTTGTGTTTAATTCTGATTCAGTTATATATTCCCTCATAAATCTCCACTGAAAGGAGGAGGATTATGCTAAGAAAGAGGAAATGAGCTCTGAGTGGTAAAACTACTTTTCTGAGTTGGCACAATAAGTAGGTAATAAGATAGTACTCAGCTAATAAGTCAATTCTGCCAGGCGGGACCTGAATCCTGACTTCTCTGACTCTAAGCTCACTGATTTTACTTACACGGTCACCTTTATCTAGTCTCCATGATTTCTCTCTCCTGCAATAGCCCTTAGGATCAAGCGCTGTGACTTCCAGGCATCAAAAAACAATAAGGAGCACCACACGAAGGCCATTAGCTCCCAGCACCTCATCGTGAGGAGGGGACAGTCCTTCACCCTTTGCCTGCACTTTCGAGCACCAGTGCCCAAATTTGGGTCTGCCTTGAAGAAGGTGACCCTCATTGCACAAACAGGTAAGAGGAGCAGGCCTAGTCCTTTGGGACAGCAGGTTTGAGTTCTTCTCTGCCTGGCATTACCTCAAGAAACCCAAATATCAGTGACCCACATGGCTCCTACATCTTAAGGAATCATCCTAGCCATGGTCTAGGAGGAGGGCATGTGCACAAAAAGTAATGCATCCCATGACTCAGAATTGTTCGGCTCATTATTACTGAGGGATTTTCTTTTGGTTGCAAATATAATAGCCATTTTATAGAAAATCTGGAATGGGATCTATTCCAAGCTAAATATGATATTTAATGGCCACATTTGCTGAATATGTGCTTGACTATGTGTTTAACTCTGCCAATACAAGTCAGACATAGTACTACGAGTACCTTACATGCAAAGCTGCTTTAATTTCTCACACAAGCGCTATGAAGTAACTGTTACTCCATTTGTTTTATAGATCCTGGAATATTTCTAGACATAAGTTCTCCTGTGTCCTCCCCTACCTTTTGTCTATCTCCCATTGCTGGGCAGGCTGCCTTCACTCTCTTCTTTTTTCATTTCAAAACCACCTGCTCTGGTTTTTGAATATTGGACTTTATTACTCAAAATGGTAACAATGACGGTCGGAATGATCACTTTGCGACTGTGTGACTGCAGGAGAGCAGCCTTCTGAGGACAACAGGACCCAGGCCACATTCCCAATTTCCAGTCTGGGGGACCCGAAGTGGTGGAAAGCTGCAGTGGAGAACAGAGATGCGGAGTCCTGGACCCTTTCTGTGACCACGCCCACAGATGCTGTCATTGGTCACTACTCGCTCCTGCTGCAGGTCTCCCGCCGGAAGCCACGCCTCCTGGGTCGTTTCACGCTGCTTTTTAACCCCTGGAATCGAGGTGAGGTTGGCTTAGGAGCTGGAGCAGTTCCAGCAGGACACACCTTCCCGGGTCCTGGCTTACAGCTCCCTCTAAGGGCCACTGGAATGCTCAGTGACTTCTCCCAAGAGGCCAGACCTGCAGCTACAGCTGTAGACTGAGGCTACCCCTGAAAGCAAGGGCATGCTTCAGCACTGGAGCCAACTCGTGCCATTTTAGGGTCAAGAGTTGAGGTTTGGGCCAGAGTGATAGTCCAGCAGAGAGGGCATTTGCCTTGCACATGGCCGACCCCGAACACTGCTAGCAGTAATTTCTGAGTGCAAAGCCAGGAGTAACCCCTGAGCATCGCTGGGTATGACCCAAAAGGCAAAAAATTAAAAGAGTTGAGATTCCCTGGGGTGACTCTACGAGACAGACCATTTACAGTGACAACCGCTGGCTGATGCTTCAGGAATAGAGTTCACCTGAGAAATAGGCTTGTCTATTTCCTTCCTGGGTTTCCATAGCTTTATGAGCCTCGAAGCTTAGGAAATTTGGGGGACCCCTTTTCAAAAAAACAAAAGAAAATATGTCAAAGAACTAGTACAGGATAGGGAGCTTGCTTGCCTTGAAGGCAGCCCAGCCCCAGTATATGGTCCTTCAGAACCCCAAAGGTCACTCCTCAGCAGAGACAGGACTATCCCCTAGGTATATCCACAACACCATAACACCCACAAACACCAATACAAAATTTTGAATAGCTAGGGCCCCTACCAGTCTCAAAAGAGTCTGTGCTCACTAGAGGCCAGAGCTTCAACTTTCTCATCAGCATTGCCATAATCTGCCCCTATGTGCTCTTTTTGCTTCTCTCCATTTATCTGCTCTGTTCTTTCCACAAACTGCTGGACCCTCTCCACACTGGCCTGTCTAAATCAATGATTGACTAGAGTAGCGGATTCAATGGCAGCCTCCTGCACCACAGCCGCTTCCTCCCGCACCACAGCTTTATCTCTTGTAAAGCTCAGACCTGGCTTTTGTGGTTCTTCCATCCAGAGAAAGGCATCAGAATCCTCTGTTGATGTGCCCCAGGATCCAGGAGACCACTTCTGCTGCCATCCCTTTCTGAAGTCTGAGCTGTGCTCAGGGTTTAATCCTGGCTCTGTGCTAAGGGATCACTCCTGGAGGTATTATATGTGGTGCCAGGGATCAGATTCGGGTCAGCCATATGCAAGGCAAGTGCCTTAACTTGTCTATTTTAAGTCTATTTTAAGTTAATCTCTTGAGCTCCTGCAGGGTTTGTGGGAGAGTGAGAAGTGGTGCTTTGTGACTTTCCAGTCTTTGCCACTCCTAGACAACAAGCACAGGGACCTTTGCAGAGTATTACTGTAAGCCTGAATGGGCTTGTCACAAGGTTGAGCTGAGAGAAAGAGGGAACCTAGGGATGTAGAAGGAAATTCCCAGGTCCCTTTTTATGGCCCCATCTCTGGATTCCCTCTCTTTCTGGTACTTCAATCCCAGGAGGCCACTCCTTTCATCCAGGATGAGTTTCTCCAACAACTCCTCCCATGGCCCTCCCTACCTGTTCTAAATCCGACCTTTCATTTTCTACTCCATGGGATTTAGCAGATAGAACAATGGATGGGGACCCCTTGCCCCATGTGGTTGAATGTGGGACTAACCCCTCTCCCCTGCAAGTTGGGGAGACTTCTTGCTCTGAGAGGAAAACCCTCAGACTATTTCCCTCTAAGCAGAGGCTGCTAGTGTTTCTTCACCTCATGGACAGATATCCTGGGGGCTGAAGCAAAGATATCGCAGAAATAGTTCTAGAACAGTGCTCAATTCAGAGAAAATCCAAGGGCTTGGGTGGAGAGAGAGAGTACAGCAAGGAGGGCACTTGTCTTGCATGTGGTCAATCAAGGCTGGATCCCTGGCATCCTTTATGTTCCTCCAAGCCCTGAACCCTTAGGGAGTGATATCCCTGAGCACAGAGCCAGGAGTAAGCCCTAAGCACTGCCAGATGTGACTCCTTTCCCCCAAACAACAACAAACCAGAGGACACCCACTGGCTTGTATTCATGACAGGAGTCCTGCCATGCTCTTATATTCATGCCATGCTCTGGGCTTGGCATGCAGGGACCTGCCCCTGGGGGCCTCTTTATGTGAGTGTGTGGAAGGGCAGCCCGGGCAGATCCACTTATTGGCTCTGCTTATCTGGGAAGTGATTCAGAGATTTTCAGAAGTTACCTGAGACTCAGTCTCATGTTAGCCTACTTGCAGATAGATCTCTCCTAGATTCAAACTCGGTTTTACTTTCTCTAAATAAATAATCGTATTCTTCAGCAAGGAACTATAGCACCAGGGACTGGGCTTTAAAGAATGGGAGGAGAGGGCATGCACTGAGTGTGCTTCCTGGAGTCCTGCAGAGACCAGGCCAAATGCTGGATGTTCCTAGTCATTTCTAAAGCAGTTTGGAGGGAGGAATCAGGGAGGAGGAGCCGGAGGAGAGACACAGGACCATTTGGTCCTGAGGTTTTAGGCTCCATGTTCTTCAGGGTGCCAGGATTTCTTTCATTTTCTTTTCTTTTTCTTTTTTTTTTTTTTTTGGTGGGAGATGGGGGGAGGAGTTCAGATAACATCAAGCAGTGTTCAGGGCTTACTCTTGGCTCTTTGTTCAGGGGTCACTACTGGTGGTGTTTTGGGATATGTGGTAATAGAACTCAAATTCAGGTTAGCTCTGCGCAAGGCAAGTGCCCTACCCCATGTACTATCAGTCTCTAACTTTGTTACCCTTAAAGTTTATTAGGGTTACAAGGTGGGTTTTGAGGTCACATCTAGCAGCACTTGGAGATCAAACCAGGATTGTCCACATGCACGGTAACACCTTAGCCCTTGTACTCTCTCTGTAGCCCCAGCTATTGGTGTCATTTAATGTTTTCATTTTTCTTCTGCTATTATTGAGGCCATACCATTTACAGTACTGTTCATATTTATGCTTTACAGGGCGTCCTGCTTGCAAATAGCCTCTTCTTTTGCTTTGAGCACCTGGGATGGGGGGACGGAAATGGAAATCCTTTTTTTTTCTCTCTAATTCCCAGAAATCAGCCTAACCAATCACAAATACCTCCACCCCACCACACTTCACCTTGTACTGGGTACAGTCGCCCCAGCAGCTCCTTCTTCCTATAGAGGATGAAGCACCTTAAAGACCCTGTCTCTCCAAAAGTTCCAGCTCGCCCCTTGAAGGACAGCAGGCAGACATGAAACCTAGACCCCTTCATCCCGCACCTACCAGCCCATACTTCCTCTTTCCCTTCACTTTCCCTCTGACCTTGTCTTGTCAAATGCTCTTTCTTCTGCTCACCCCTGTCCACTATTTTTTTTTTTAACATTTGTGCTTATAAGTTGAATTTACAGGCAAGACCTTGCAGGCCCTCAGAGCCATGGCCTGTGCTGCCATTGCCAAATCCTTGGAGGCAGCACTCTGACTGCAAATGTCTTCCTGCTTTTATGTCTTTTTGTCCAGCCACTGGCTAATTCAGCTAATCCAGTACCCTTTTCCCATGCTCCCCCAGAAAAGAAGCTGAGCTCCCGAGAAGGAGAATGGGGTGAGAGAGTGCTTCTTCACAGTCCTTTCCTGGGCAGAGCTGAAGGGAAGGCTCACAGCCCCTAACATGAGGAAGGGTGGGCAGAGGCCTGACTGGTCCCTCCATACCCCAAACCCTCCCTATGACTACTTCCCACCAGAGGATGGCGTATTTCTGGAGAATGAAGCCCAGCGCCAGGAGTACTTACTAAACCAGGATGGCCTCATCTACCTGGGCACTGCTGACTGCATCCAGACAGTGGCCTGGGACTTTGGTCAGGTAAGGGGGAGGGAAGGGCTGCCACTCACTGGCTCCACACAACTGACAGGTCCCTAAACTACTGGTTATAAAGTAATTTCTTTTACTAACTTAAGTGGGCTGGAGCGATAGCACAGCAGGTAGGGCGTTTGCCTTACATGCAGCCAACATGGCCGACCCGAGTTCGATTCCTCCGCCCCTCTCGGAGAGCCCGGCAAGCTACCGAGAATATCTCGCCCGCACGGCAAAGCCTGGCAAGCTACCCGTGATGTATCCGATATGCCAAACACAGTAACAAGTCTCACAATGTTACTGGGTCCACTCGAAAAAATCAATGAACAATGGGAGGACCGTGACCGTGACTAACTTAAGTGGTGCAGATCCCTCTTTCCTCAACTCCATATCAGACCATCCTTCACAGCTTCCAGAGTTCTCCTAAAGACCTTGCAAATCTAGCCTCTGTTAAATCCCTATCATCGATGGGACAAGGCCCAAACAAGGCTTGTGGCTAGAGAGATAGCACAGGAATTAAGATGCTTGCTCTGCACACAGCCATCCTGGGTTTAATTCCTGGCACTGAATATGATCCTCTGAGCAGAGTCAGAAGTAAGCTCTAAACATCACTGGGTTTCTCCCCGCTTACCCCTACCCCCAAAGAAACAAAAGTCAAACACTCTGGTTTGACAACGCCCCCTCCCCCAGACCCTTTGTAGGTAGGGTACTGCTTTCTTTACTTCAAGAGCCAGCCAGAGTCAGCCCCTGGGCACTTACTGACATTCAAGTTGAGTGTTCCCTTTGCCTGGAATAGCTCCCTCTTGATTCCCTTAGAAAATTCAGACCAGTTTTGTAGACCTTCTCAGGGTCATCCCCAGCCCCCAGAAACCACATGAGCTCCCGCCTGGGCTGGTATCTCCACAAGGTCCTGGCTCCACTGCTAAGCTCTGTCATCTAGGTGAACAATTCTCCCTTTCTGCTCAAACCAAGAGACCTCAGTGTACACGCTCCGCCATACTGCCAGCAGTTGGGATTCACTCAGTGGAAACGACTAGGAATAAAAAGAAGCACCCCATCTCATTGTGGGGGCACACAGGGACCAGGGTCACAGGACAAGTCTAAATGAACAAGGTGGGGGGTGGGAGGGTGCCTAAACTGGGACCCCCACCTCACGATCTGTGGGTTTTCACAGTTTGAGAGAGATGTCATCGACCTCAGCCTGAGCTTATTGAGCATGGACAAGCAGGTGGAGGCGTGGGGCAACCCCCAGCATGTGGCCCGCATTCTGGGTGCCTTGGTAAGTAAACAGGAGGTGGAAAGGGGAGCGGGGACATGATGAGCCCCAACTGTAGGGTCCTGGAGATCTTCACATCACAAAGAATCCCTTCTCCCAGGGAGGCCCCACCCTGATGTTGGGATTGGCTCTTAGAGAAATGTCTGAGCCAAGGGACCTTGCTGTACACACTCCGTCATACTGCCAGCAGTCGGGGCTCACTCAGTGGAAAAGACTAGGAACCTGGGCCTGTTGGGAGTCCCTGGGAGGGACAGGGGAAAGCTCAGCTTACCCTGTGTCACCTGTTACGGTGAGCAGAGGGGTTGTAATCCAGTAATTCCTATGTGTCTGCCATGCTTGAAGGGATCTTGGAGCTTTCCTGTTGTTCTCAAATGGTCCTTTCCCAGGACAAATGTGTTCCTCATTTCCTCCGGGTCCTTTGGAAAGCCCCTGGAGAGGTGCTGCAGGATGAGGCCAGCCTGTTAGGAGCAGGAAGCTGGGCTGAGGGGACCTCAGGAGGGGCAGCCCTTTAGCTGCATGGTTCTGTTTGCCTGTGGGGTCCTTACATCATCTTCTAGGGAGATCCTATTAAAGAGATTCCCCTAGAGATGTTGACCCAGAAAGATAGGGCAGAACCAAGAACCTACAGGTCTAAGGAGTTCCAGAAGATTCAGTGGAGGAGGGTCCATTTATAATGCTCAGAGAACCCCCCAAATCATGTCCTGAAAGCTGCCATGTCCTAAGACTCAGGAATACCTCCACATTTCTCCCCAACAGTTGCATGCACTCAAGGAGAAGCAAGTCTTGTCCATGGACCAAGCTACCCAGGAAGGGGCCTTGTTGGGCAAGTGCCGGGGCAGCGTGCCCATCCTGAGGCAGTGGCTCACAGGCCGTGGGCTGCCAGTGCACGCGGCCCAGGCCTGGGTGCTGGCTGCTGTTGCTTGCACAGGTATGATGTAATAAACGGCCTCCCCCCCTGCCCACCACACATACACACACACACACAAGCACACACACACACACAAGCACACACACACACACGGTCTTAGCATGTATGCAGTGTGCTCTGCCCATTGGGAGTTGGGTTTGTCTCCTTCTTTGGCCTGATATTTCCTGTACCTTGGTGCTTACCTGCTCTGTCCTAAGCAGGCCCCTCCTCTGTCCACTGTGTACCAGCCCAGAGGAGATACAAGGCCTCCTCTCAGGGTCCCACTGTCTCTGTCCTTGCATACAGCACTGCGAAGTCTGGGAATCCCTGCCCGTGTCATCACCACCTTCGCCTCAGCCCAGGGCACCGGTGGGAGCCTGCTGGTCGATGAGTACTACAATGAGGAGGGGCTCCAGAACGGAGAAGGCCAGCGGGGGAGAATCTGGTGAGAAATCCAAAGAGTGGATAAGGCCTCAGACCTGGGGCTGAAGAGGCAGTACAACAGGTAGAGCACTTACCTCGCATGCAGCTCACTGGGATTTGGTCCCTGGCATCACATACAGTCTCCTGAGCACCACCAGGAATGATCTTTGAGCAAATAAAAACACAAAAAAGGCCTCAGACCTGTAATGGCTTCAACCTCACAGGGTGGAAGTCCAGGGGCACCCTTCCAGTGGCCTTGATCCTAAGATGTCATCAGGCAGGACACTGATGGCCGGTCAGAGCATGCACGCCCCTCCCTGGGAAGCTGCACCATGTCCACACAGTGTCCCCCATCCTCATGTCGACAAGGGACGCTGCCACTCCTAGGATGTTTTCAGGACTCATTTGCCTCTGCTACCCTGTTTGTTCCCACCAGGGTCTTTCAGACTTCTACTGAATGTTGGATGGCCCGGCCTGCTTTACCCCCAGGGTATGATGGATGGCAGATTCTGCACCCAAGTGATCCTCTTGGAGGTGGAGGTAAAGCCTAGGGGTGGGCCCAAGCCCCTCAGGCAGCACAGAGCTGCTGGAGCAGAAGGGGACCCTCCTGGAGGAGGAAATTAAAGCAGCCAGGTGGCCAGAAGTAGGTCTGCAGTCCTTAAAACAAGAGTGACAGAACATGTGATTAAGACCAACAGAACGCTGACCTGATGCCAGTGGGCTGTTAGGGAGGTAGAGGTGTCCACCCTTTTGGCCACCAGCTGCAGGGAGACCCAGGGAGGGCTATAGGCGAGGGGGCAAGTCTCAGCAGAGGACAAAGGCTTGCAGATGAGCCGCAGATGTGTGGAGTAGAACTTCCCAGGTTCTGGATATGGATCCCGGAGGTAAGAGGGAATGTTTAAGCTCAGAGAAGTAATCTTCAAGAGCACTGAAAGGGTGGCTCTCTCTTTCCCGGGAAAATACTGATTGTAGAATCAGAAGCACAGCAAGTGATTCAATAAAGGTAATTCCTATCTGAGTAGGGTCAAGGGAGCTTGGGAAGTTGTGGGAACTATTTTCCTTCTGCTCTTACTGTCCAGTTCCTGAGAGGCCTCTGCCACAGGCCATTATGAAAAGGGATCATCCCTAAAGAGTGTTTTGGTATAAGTGAGTAGGGTGCTGTCCTTGCACATGTTCAACCTGGGTTCCATCCCCAGTATCCTGTATGGTCCCCTGAGGCTGCCAGGAATAATTCCTGAGTGCAGAGCCAGGAGCAACCCCTGAGCACTGCCAGATGGGTGACCCAAAAGTCGGAGAAAAAATTAAAAACGATTCACCTTTGCAATGCCTTCTCAGAAACTACCCTTTGATCTTGATCTGAGAGAAAGGATGGAGTCAGACCCAAAAAACAGTGGCTCCTCTCTCTCACTGATGTTTGTCTTCCCTCAGTCCTAAAGTCCTGTGATCTTGTTCCGGTCAAAGCTGTCAAGGAGGGGACACTGGGGCTGACCCCTGCAGTTGCTGACCTCTTTGCTGCAGTGAACGCCTCATGTGTGGTGTGGAAGTGCCGTGAGGATGGGGCACTGGAGCTGACTGATTCCAACACTAAGTATGTGGGCAACAACATCAGCACCAAGGGTGTGGGCGGCGACCGCTGTGAGGACATCACTCAGAACTACAAGTACCCTGAAGGTACCAGACAAGAGGGGTGCACAATTCTCAATACCCGAGCAGCAGAGAGGATGAGCCTAAGAGGTGCAGGACAGTGAGAGTAATAGGACTTTTCTTGGCATATAAAATGAGGATTTCTCAACCTTATTTGACACCCTTGCCCTTTGGGGTCAGATAACGTGGCGGGGTGGGCGCCATGCCTCACAGGACTGTTAGCAGCATTCCTGGTCTCTGTTCATTAGATGCCAGCATCCTCTGCCCACCACCACCAGTATGTGACAATAAAAACTACCTCTAGACATTTCCCAACTTCCCTTGGGGACAAATCTGCAAACTGCTGCTACAGAACACTTAGTACCAAGCCCAGGAGTCTAAAGGTGTTCATCCTTTCCCCCTCACTGACCCCCATATCCAGTTCTGCCCTTCTCATTAGTGGATGGCACCACTGTTCACAGTCTGTTGAAACAATAAGGCTTTCCCTTTCCCCTTTCACTGGCCACATTACCACTCATCATCTCGCCTCCCTCTCTGATGGTAGGTAAACCGAGGCTTTGTCTCTCATCTGCAGTCTAGCTATGGTGTCCTAACTACACTCCCTCTCCATAACTGTTCCCTTCACAACCTTCAGTTCCCAGAACGAGGTTCCTAAAAAAACACACACGTAATTGTTAGTCTCTTGCTCCAGTACATTCCATGATCCCAGTGCCCTTGGAGTAAGTCCAAACTCCTGTCTCTCCTAAGCTGTTCTCAAAGACAACATGACTTGTCCAAAAGCAAACTCTGCTGCTGTTAAGAGTCAAATACATAGTTCCCAAAGAACTGCAAGTAGCTTGTAGAAATGTGCTGTATCTGACACTGAGCTTTTATTTCACTGCCGAGGGCCTCTAGAGGCTTAAAATGGACTTGTAATGTTGTTATTGGAGCAGTCATAGGTGAATGAATCTTAATCCTGAACTTGAAGGCTCTAGACCCGCCAAAAAACCTCCTTTGTTGCTTCCACTCTACAGGATCTCTTCAAGAGAAAGAGGTGCTGGAGAGGGTACAGAAAGAGAGAATGAAACAAGGGAAAGACAATGGCATCTGCCCTCCAAGTCTCGAGATATCCAATCCCCTGTACCTGTTCTTGGAAACTCCCTGCTTTCTACCTTTGGGAGGGGATGCTCAGTTTGCTGTGACTCTGATTAACCCCAGTGACCAGGAGAAGACTGTGCAGCTGGCGATTGGGGTGCAGGCAGTGTACTACAATGGCATCCTTGCTGCAGAGCTCTGGAGAAAGAAGATGCTCATAACACTCAGTGGAAACCTGGGTAACTCTCTCTGTGACCTGCTCTCATTCCTTACTTTGGTGGGTGGCAGTCACAGGGCCCCTATAAGTCTAAAGAGACAACTTCCAGTTATCCAACTCATTTATTGAGCATTACACAGGTTAAAAACAACAACATTGCACCCACAATTCCTTTACAACCAAATAAGTCAACAGACCAGGGGAGCAGGATAAGAAGTATTTGGTGACCTAAACAGAACACAATGGTTAGGAGCTCCCAACCCAGGTGGAGCAGGCTTTCCCCGAGTAAATTTGGCCATACTGGGTTTTAAAGGATGAGTAAGGGAGGGTGGAAAAGTGTGTCACAGGCATTCGAGCAGAAGGAACTTGTACACGACTTCCTCCTCCTCCCCAAGATTCTTAATTATTGCTCATGGATAGGAATGGGGTCCTAGCATTTGGTATTCCCCCCCCCCAAATTCTTGTTATCCTAGGATTGAAACTTTCTGTACTAAGGTAGATGTTCTCAAACTTGCCTGCACTTTAGAATCAGCCTCATCCCAGACTCATGAACTCCAAAATGCCATGGTTCAACCACCAAATTAATGTAATCTTTAATGCCATGCGTGGGCTTGGGGGCTTGGGAATTTGAGAATAATTAGAATAGAGTGTCACTATATTATTGTAACAACCCTTACCACTGAGCTGATGACTCCCACCTACCCTGCTTTCAGGTTCTCTACTATGTTCACTTTCCAAGGATGGGGTGCAGCGAGAGAGCTTGATGGGGCCTGATCCTGTCTTACACATTATGAGAAGTTTGGATTTTTTTTCTTGTTTTTTTTTTTTCCTTTTAGGGCCACACCTGGCAGGGCTCAGGGGACCATATAAGCTGCTAGGGATTGAACCTGAGTCAACATGCAAGGGGTTGGAGCGATAGCACAGCGGTAGGGCATTTGCCTTACAAGTGGCCAACATGGCCGACCCAAGTTCAATTCCTCCGCCCCTTGGAGAGCCTGGCAAGCTACCGAGAGTATCTCGCTCACACGGCAGAGCCTGGCAAGCTACCCGTGATGTATTCGATATGCCAAACACAGTAACAACAGGTCTCATGATGGAGACGTTACTGGGCCCGCTTGAGCAAATTGATGAACAACGGGAGGACCGTGACTGTGACCATGACAACATGCAAAGCAAGCACCTTGCCTGCTATACAATATTTCTGGCTCCTTAATTTTGTGCAGTGGGGAGCTGGTTTTAACAAGGAAAGTTAATGTGTTCAAAAATTCACATTTATCATTTTGGGGAATTAGGGGGCAACCCCAGCAGTGCTACGGTGGTCTGGGGACCACTCCTGGATATTCTCAGTGGTTCAGTGCCCCTGGGGCCTGAGGATGTGGTGCTGCTCAGGTCCAGTGGTGCTGGGGACCACCTAGGCCCCTCCTGTGGTGCTCAGAGGGTGCTGGGGCCACAGCCAGTGGCACAGATTGAACCTGTGTTGGATGCAAAGTCAGCATGTACCCAAATCATAGTAATATCTCCTGGCCCCTTAAAATTTATTTAAATTTTTAAAAATTTATTATAGTTTTTTGGGCTAGAGCGATAGCACAGCAGTAGGGCATTTGCCTTGCATGCAGCCAACATGGTCGACCCCAGTTCGATTCCTCTGCCCCTCTTGGAGAGCCTGGCAAGCTACCAAGAGTATCTCGTCTGCACGGAAGAGCCTGGCAAGCTACCCGTGACGTATTCAATATGCCAAACACAGTAACAAGAAGTCTCATAATGGAGACGTTACTGGGACCGCTCGAGCAAATCGATGAACAACGGGAGGACTGTGATTGTGATTATAGTTTTAGCTAACATGGTTATAATAGTGTTTCAAGTTTATTTTACTACTGTGCAAAGGTCCTGCACACATCATCACCAAAGTCTCCCATAGCCCTCTACCACTATCCCTTTGTCACCTCCAGTCTGTTCTTCACTCCACTCCTTGATCTGTTGGAAAATTTTGTGATCCAAGGACAAGGGTTTGTAATTTGAAAAAAATCATTTAAAAAAGAGCTTTCAGCAGAGTAGATTATATCAGAGTCATGCTTCTCAGACTCACTTGGGGAACTCTAAAATTACTGAGATCGCTAAAAGGCCGCTGGAAACTCAAACCTGTTTTCCTTTTTTTTTTTTTTAAATTTTTATTAGTGAGACACCATGAGGTACAGTTGTAGACTTACAAATTTTGTGCTTGGGTTTCAATTATACAATGATCAAATACCCATCCCTCCACCAGTGCCCACTTCCCACCACCACGGATCCCAGTATCCCTCCCACCCCCATCCCCCCCCATCCCACCCTGCCTCTGTGGCAGGGCATTCCCTTTTGTTCTCTCTCTCCTATTGGGTGTTGTGGTCAAACCTGTTTTTCAAAATAAAGAACTGGGCTAGAACCCAGATGCAGGAGTCCCAGCACAGAGAGGAGGTCCAGAAACCAGGGCACTGATGGGCTGACGCAGTGCAGGGGGGACTGAGAGGGGATAAAAGGGCAAGGCAGGGGCTGGCTACTAGTAGTACAGTGGGTAGGGCTGTGCAAACAGCTGATCTAAGTTTGATCCCCAGCATCTCATATGGTTCTCTGAGTACTGCCAGGAGTGATCCCTGAGTGCAGAGGCAAGAGTAACCCCTGAGTACCACATTGGACCCCAACACAAAAACAAAACAAAAAGGGTGAGGCAGGAGCCCAAGCAGAAGTATGTGCCCCATAGTTGAAGCTGCAGTGAGGAATGAGGCCTGTGTATAGGCTCCTGCTTCCTCTGTGCCCTGTGAAACTTGTATCTGTGGAAACTGTGTTCACCCTCTGCTCATCATGTGTTTCAGTTCAAAGAATCACCACCAGTCTGTCTTCCTCCCATTTCGAGCAAAGCCCACCAGAGGACAGCTTCCTCAGACTCACTGCTGTGGCAACACACTCCCAGTCCAGTCTCAGCTGCTTTGCGCAGGAAGACATCGCCATCAGCAGACCAAAACTTGCCATCGAGGTGGGCATCATTCTTTCCCCAAGCCACTCCATTTCCTACAAAGTAGGTCCTGTTTCAAAAAGATCTGGTGCCCCTCAAATGTCAGAGCAAGTGAACGTGTGACAGGAATGACAGCAGGTGCTAAGTTGAGGAATCCTTCTCTTGAGGTTTCTCACATGCCACAGTAAGATTTGATCTTCCAATGTCTTCCTTTGGTTCAACAAAGGGTTTCTACGATTGGTGACTCCACAGTTAGAGGAGTTATAGTTTATGTTTATTCAGCACTTCATACTAGTGTCAATGAACTTTTCTCTCCTTTGTTCCTTTATTTTACAGTTTAGGGCTATACCAAGCAGTTTCTTGGGGATACTCCTGGATCTGTGCTCAGGGGGATCATATATAGTGCCAGGGATCGAATGGGGTTGGCGAATGAAAGACTAGCACCATATCCCTGTACTACTATCTCTCTGACCCTCTTTTAACATGAAAGTCCTGGGAGGTGAAGCTATTTCATGTTTTGCAGATAAGAAAGAAGTTCTAGGGGCCAGAGAGATAGTACAGCAGGTAAGGTGTTTTCCTAGCACAGTCAACCTGGGTTCAAACCCTAGTATCCCATATGGTCCCTTGAGCCTGCCAGGAGTTAAGTCCTGAACAATGCCAGGTATGGCCGAAAAAACAAAACAAACAAAAAAAAAAGCTGTAGAGACAATACCCTAAAATTATATAAAAAAAATTAAAAAAGGGATGTTTTACAGGCTTGAAGTTCTTGGTTCTGTCTCTTCCCACGTGCCTGCCCTGATCAAAATCAATGTGGGCCCTGCCTTCAGGGAGTTAAAATCAGAAAAGGGAGATCTATTTAGCCTTCTGTGTAAATGCTTTACAGAGGTACAGGGTTACTATGGCTTAAATGTATGAAATCAATCTGGTTGTGGGTTGAAAGTTCATGGACGAGGCAGCAGCTATACTGGAGCTTGAAAAATGGAGACAGGGGTGGGAAAAACAGTATAGGGCCTAAGATGCTCGCCTTGCATGCAGCCAAGCCCTGTTGGATCTCCAGCACTGCACATGGTACTCTGAGCATCAGGAGTGATGTCTGAGCACAGGGCTGGGAATAGCCCTTGAGTACTGCCAGGGTGTGGCTCAATCAAAAACAAAGATGCTCAATTTGGTTTGTTTTGAGGCCACACCTAGCTGTGCTCAACAAAGATGCATTCTTCATGCAGGGGTGGGAGGAGCACTACAGTAGCAGCAGGCTGTGCAAAGCAGCTCAGAGGAAGGGCCTGTTGAGAGGTGTGCCAGGGCTGGGAAAGTGTCCCAGGTAGCTGGGATGCTCTTTAATCAAGGGAAGAACAGATGAGCTGAAGAGGTGGGTAGGAGCCAATCCATAAACAGTCCTGAATGTCAAGCAAAGCTAAACTGATAAGAGGTATCTCTTCCCCAATGCAATGGTTTCTAAGTGGAGAGAAGGTATGTCATCAGAGAGATGGATCAAGGTAGAAAATAAACACTGGCATGCCAGGCAGCGGGGTAGTCAACTGTGGAGTTCAGGTTAAGATGGCCAAGAAAGGAGAGTAACTAAGGCCCAGAAAAGCGGGAGGGCAGGCACAGCAGCTGTTCTGCATAATCAGTCCCACGGCAGGTTTTGCCTCTTCCCACAGATGCCTAAGACAGCAGAGCAGTACAAGCCTCTTACTGTCACAGTCAGCATCCACAACCCCCTTGATGCTCCCCTGAAGGACTGTGTCATCTCCCTCCTCGGAAGGGGGCTCATCTACAGGGAGAGGAACTACAGGTAAGAGACCACAAGCCTCCCAGGCCCTTGAGCCCTAAGGCTGGTGAGAAAGACAAGGGCCTACATTGTCGCTAAAAATAGCTCTACGAATTGAACTAAAGCTTAGGACCTCTGTCATCCTGGGGTAATGTCTAGAGGGCACTGTTATTGCTGCCTGACATGGGATTGCTGGTGCTAGAACAACCCAAGAGGGCCATTTCCTGGGGTTCACTGATTTTTTTTTCTGAAAAGGGGTGGTAGACCAGGTAATATGGGGCCTCTGACATAGGAGATGGGAGTTGAGAGGTATGTGCCCATTCGTGTCTGCTGCCCTGGTCCTGCAGGCCAAGACTGGGTCCTGCTGGAGAGCAGACAACAGGGAAGACTGGCACAAGGCACACTGCCCAAGGTGGCTGTCTCTCAGAAACTGCATTAGTGCCACTCATGACCATGACACAGAGCTTTATTTAAACATTCCCTTTTGTTCTTACCCCTTCATCCCAACTCTACCCAACCACCACCCCTTAGACCCTTTGTGTGTGTAAAATGTGTACCAGCTACATCAGAGTCTTCTATTTTAAACTTCTATAAGGGATGCTTTTCTTTCCTCTTGGAACCATTTTTTCTTCTTATTGGGCCTTGCCATTACACTCTATCTGCTATACTATTGCTCCAGGCCCTAGATGTTCATTTTCTTTACGTTTCACCTCTTTAAGTAGGGAAGGATCAGTCACGGGAGCCAACAAAGCAATGAGCCTGGGACAAATAGCTCCTGCCTTTTTCTTTATTTCAGACTGGGTTCTGTGCGGCCTGGAAACACCTTGCGCACCCAATTCCAGTTCACACCAACGCATGTGGGGCTCCAGAGGCTCGTAGTGGAGATGGACTGTAACATGTTCCATAACGTGACTAACTACAGAAATGTCTCTGTGATGGCCCCTCATCTTGCAGCTTAAACGTGCTAAGAGGAATATAAAGGCACTTGGTAAAAGTAAATTAAAATTCATCTGACTTGACTGGTTAAAGAAACTTTGGTACATCTACACAATGGAGTACTATGTAGCTGTTAGAAAAGATGAAGTCATGAAATTTACATACAAGTGGTACAACATGGAAAGTATCATGATAAGCGAAATGAGTCAGAAAGAGAGGGATAGACATAGAAAGATTGCATTCATCTGGAGGATATAAAGTAACAAAATATGAGATTAATACCCAAGAATAGCTGAGATCAGCACCAGGAGGATTACTCCATAGCTTAGAGGCCAGCCAGGCATTCTAGGGGAAAGGGCAGCTCAGATAGAGAAAGGAGCACCAAATAAAGGGTGTTTGGAGGATCCTCCCAGGAGGGGAGATGCATGTTGAAAGTAGACTATGGACTGAACATGTTTGCCACTCAAAGCCTCTTTTGCAGACCACAACACCCAAAAGGAGAGAGAACAAAAGGGAATGCCCTGCCACAGAGGCCGGGTGGGATAGGGGGATGGGGGTGGGAGGGATATTAACCATGGTGGTGGAAAATGGGCACTGGTGGAGGGATGGGTATTTGATCATTGTATAATAGAAACCCAAGCACAAAAATTTGTAAATCTACAACTGTACCTCAAGGTGTTTCACTAATAAAAATTTTAAAAAAATTCATCTGACTTTTGGAATTTCAATTACAAGTACACAACAGTTTTAAAAAAAAAAAGCTACTGTTAATTATACCTGAAGAGATAATGGAGACATCAAAAGTTTGAATTAAGAAAAAAAAAGAAGTCTGATGTGGTGATTTATCCCTATCCATAAGGGGAAAGATATCTGAGGTTACGGAGACCCATAGCACATGCATAACACCCATATCAGGTCGCCCAAATAACTATCACTACAGGGACCTTAATTTCCTATGTGATTTTTCAAGGTAATGAAAATATATAATGGAAGTGAAGACAGATTTTCAAAAGGGTTAACTGAATCCTTGTGAAAGAAGTCCTTGAAATGATATAATCTCTTGCTTAAAGGACCTGGGCCAGTTCTGGCAATACTGGGCCCAGCAGTGTCCACCTGGCAGTTTGGTGCTTAGACCCAGCAATGCAGTGATACTTGGACCTGGTTTGGAACAGCAGGGTCACATCTGGTAGTGTTTGGAAGCTACAAGGACTTAACATTTTTTGATTTATAAAATTTTTGTACTTATGTTTGGGGACACATGTAAGATAGAACAGTATAGTATGTATAGGGAAATGTATAAGAATGCATACAGAATGTCTACAGAAAATAAATCAGTTTGATCAAGTGGACAAACCTAGCAAATGAGCTCATTATCAAAAAATAATTTCAGAGGCATAAAGTAACTTGTAGTAACAGTTATAAGGAATTACTGATAGTAACAGTATATGACATGCTGAAATATTAAGAAGGGCTTTGGGGTCATCTCAAAATAAAGTCGAATATTTTTATCCTAAACATAATGATTAGAATCAGATCTTTAGATCTACAGATGAAAACAATATTTCAAACACTGTATTTCTGTTAAAAATAAACGTAGGCAGTCTATTCACTGAACCACTGGCAGATACACATTTTACTGAGATCATCAACATTGTTAACAGAGAAACAACACACTTTATTGCAAACAGAAAATAAAACAACTTCCCCAGGAACCTCCCAAAAATGTTTAGGAGCACAAACTGATGCAATTATCTTTTCTATCTAGCATAAAAATCATATCCTGTGTATTATGCTTAATAAATAATTACCAATCTGGTCTAGCCAACAATCTTTGGTAACAGTGTCTCCAGTTAGGTAGACAAGAGGGCCCATTTTAATCCAGGAAACCTTCCTCCTCATTTAAAAAGTATACATCAATACCCACCTATGAGTAAGAAAACAAGAGAGGAGTATACAAAGGAACCCTAAAACTCATAATTCAAGTTCATTCTGAGTGAGCTCCTTGATTGTGTTCATACAATGATCAATGGCATTAATGAGTAAGGGTATCCAACTATCTTCTGGCTGTGGGGTCACATGACTTGCTCTGCATATAGAATGAGAGAAAAAAAGATAAGTTAAAAGTATTATACTGTGGAAAGACAACCTATCCTTTAAAGGAATACAGGCAAACTATTCCCCCATTTCAAGGAGTGGAAGAAAGTGGGTGTGTTGAAGCTCCATAGTTTCTTTTTAATATCTAACTTATTTTTTATTGAATCACCGTGACATACAGTTAACAAAGCTTTCATGTTTGAGTTTCAGTCATACAATGATCGAACACCCATACCTCTACGAGTGCACTTTTTCCACCACCGATGTCCCCACTATCCCTGCATGCCCCGCCCCCGCCCTGCCCCATCTGAACCCTATCCCTGCCACTATGGCAGACAATTTCCCCAATATTCTCTCTTTACTTTTGGGCATTATGGTTTGCCATAATGAGAGACTATCAGATTTAGTCCTTTATCTACTTCCAGCAAGCATCTCCCTTCCTGAACAATCCCTCCAACCATCGTTTACTTAGTGATCCCTTCTCTATTCCAGCTGCCTTCTCTCCCAGCTCATAAGGCAGGCTTCCAACTAAGGGAAGCTCCACAATTTAAGCTTTGAAGCTTTGGCAGACTTATCTTCTTCACTCTTTGGAAAGGGTCTTGAGAAAGGCTATGTAGATACAATAAGAAAGCTATTTGGGGAGTAGTGTTTATACTCACTTCGTAATTTCAAGTGCCTTCTTTAAAACAGATACAAGTTTTGCAGACTAGAGAAGAAACAGAGAAGTTACTTATCTTAGGTCCACCACAAGACAAAAGGAGAGTAAAAATTTTTATAAAAACACAAATAAAGGTGCCTGAGAGAAGGTACAGTGAATAAGGCCTTGCACATGCTCAACCGGTGTTTAATCCCTGGCACCTTATATGGTCCCAGGTACCACAAGAAATGATCCCTGAGCACAAAGCCAGGAGTAGGCTCTGAGCACAGCTCTGTGACCCACAAACAAAAAACAAAACCACATAAAGAATCAGCCAAAGAGAACCTTCAAGAAAACATATTAAAAACAATTATGCTGACAATCAGAGCAATGAGATCATGAACTCTTCTTATTTAGAAAAATCTTGTTACTGTTACTCTAACAGTAAATTATTTTATAATTGTAAAGATTTTATAATTTTAAAATGTTAGTAAGAAATAAAGTAGAAAAGAGTGTAACCACAATTTTCTCTACTGCTGATAGCTCACAACCTAACTAATGTTCCTTTAAAAATAAACAAAAAACTATGTACACAATTTTAAGAATAACCAGATAACAAAATTTACTTATTTTAAAGATTCTGAGGTACAACTGGTAAGTTATATTGCTAGAAATTTCTTAGGAAATTGTGTGTGTGGGCATTGTGTGTGTGGAGGTGTTGCTCACAGAGCCTCATACTCACCCTGGTAAAATCGATTTTTAAATGTTTACCAATAGCACAGCGGTAGGGCGTTCGCCTTACAAGCGGCCAACATGGCCGACCCAAGTTCGATTCCTCCGCCCCTCTCGGAGAGCCCGGCAAGCTACTGAGAGTATTCGATATGCCAAACACAGTAACAACAAAAGTCTCCAATGGAGATGTTACTGGGCCCGCTCGAGCAAATTGATGATCAACGGGAGGGCCTTTACCTTTACCTTTACCTTACCAAAAAAAAAAAAAAAGCTATTGTTCCCACAAGAACCTATTCCTCTTCTGAGTCTCTGCACATTGTAAAGACATATTTGATAAATTATCAATTTATCTAATGTTTATATAATTGATACATCTGATCATAAAACAAAGCCATATTGAGTTTAACTTCTCTTTCCAATAACATTAGATATAAAAAATTGTGTTGTGGGCCACAGAAGTGATTCAAAGGGCTGGAGCACATGCTTCATGTGTGGGATCTCCAGGTTTGATCTCCAGCACTGCATGATACTCAAAACACCACTGGGAATGACCTGACCCAAAAAAATAATAATAGTAAAATCTTGGGTTTATGGAAAAAAAAAAAAAAGAACTCTCTAGCATAAGACCCAGGCTATGAAAGAATGCAATAAAATTAAATTTTTATGAAGTGCTTGGTCCTGCAGTTACACAATGTGTTTGTATTAGAAAAGAGTATGTTTCTGGACACTTAATTTCATCTACACTAGAAAATAGAAACTGGTGATTTCATATTGATAGGCCCCTATAGCATGGTGGTAATTGATACTTTCTTTTCAAAGCAGCTTTTTTCTAAAGTCTTTGGGTTTTTCTTTTTTTTTTAGTCTTTGGGGTTTTAAGATGATTATCCATATGGTTATAAGGTAGAGAATACTGCCAAAGCTTGTGATTATTTCAACTTCAGCAAATATTTATCTAGCATAAACACATGTAGTGCTGTGACACCTCTGTTGCAATTACATACACAGAGAACAAATACATTTTTTTTGTTTTTTTTTTGCTTTTTGAGTCACACCCAGCAATGCATAGGGGTTGCTCCTGGTTCTGCACTCAGGAATTACTCCTGGCGGTGCTCGGGGGAACATATGGGATGCTGGGAATCGAACCCGGTCGACCGCGTGCAAGGCAAATGCCCTACCCGCTGTGCTGTCACTCCAGCCCCCGAAATGTGTTTCTTATAGTTTAAAGGAAATAATTAAAGAAACTGTACCAGTTAAGGCTAGAGCTAGTCACTCAAGGATGGTACTTACATTGATTCGCACAGTCAGGCGGCACATAGGTGGGTAAATACTCAGAGCCAAATCATCCACACTGAAGAGAGAAAGTAAAAGTAACCATTACCAACAAAAGGAATAAGGCTTAACTTTCCTGTATACAAAATGGGAGCCAACTAGTGAAAAAGGTTTTCCCATAAAGTCTATCAGTTCTGTAAACTGGGTAACCAGACAACCAACAAAACAACGATTCAGGCTTGCTCACTTTTGAAAACGTGTGTTCTCTACTGAACAACATATCTCCCTCTTTTGTTCCTCTGCTTTTTCCACTCTAGAGAAGTCTTTATTCTCTCTTGAACAGATTCCTCTCTTTTTCTTCCCTGACATCTAAGTAAATTTCCTTCAATAAAAATTATTTTGCTTAGGAGCCAGAGCCCTGCATTTGCCTTGCATGCAGCCAAGCTAGATTTGATTCCCCACATACTATATGGGCTCCCTTGAGTCTGCCAAGAGTGATCCCTGAGCACAGAGCCAGGAATAAACCCTGTGTGTTGCCAGGTGGGATCAATAAATAAATAAAACTCCAAGCCTATTTTTCTTAAACAGACATACAAACCAAAAAAACCCAACAACAACAACAACAAAAACCTCAACTGGCATTTACTGAACACATAAATAGCCCCTCTTACATGAGGAAGCTGTAGGAGGGGGAAAGAACCCCTTGGTACATAAAATGGTCCATGATAAATTTAATTTAATTTAAAAAATGTGGGCATCTGAAACCATCAACCAAGTAACTGATAAAGGGGCAGTTTATGTCTAGAATATCATTATAGTGGGTATCACTTTAACCACGTGATCAAACTTGGTACGATCAAAAATAAGACAAAGTAAAACATGTGCCTCCCAAAATATCTGAAGCACAAAACACTCAAATAGGAATCAGGGAGATAGCACAAAAAAATGAAGGGCATGTTTTGGATGCTTGAGGCCCTGAGTTTAATACCTAGTACTGAATATCACTGAATGGTACGTGAACCCCTTGAGCACTGCTTGGGAGGCTCTCTTCTCCTCCCTAAACCCCTGAAAAAAAATCTCAAAAGTGTGATATTCTTGCCAAAATATTATTTACCTGAAAATAATCTACAATCACATGACTCCAAATGTCAAAAAGGATTAAAAAGGACAAGGACTGTTCTAGTTACACGAGATTTAGTACTGTGTAGCACTGCCCTCCCGTTGCTCATCGATTTGCTCGAGCGGGTCCAGAAACGTCTCCATTGTGAGACTTGTTGTTACTGTGTTTGAATTATTGAATATATCACGGGTAGCTTGCCAGGCTTTGCCGTGCAGGCGAGATACAGGTAGCTTGCTGGGCTCTCCGAGAGGGGTGAAGGAATCGAACCTGGCTTGGCTGGGCCGGCCGCGTGCAAGGCAAACGCCCTACCCGCTGTGCTATCACTCCAGTCCTACACACAAGACTTAAAAAAAATAAAAGAGGGAAAGTTAGTATTAAGTCATATATTAAATGTTAACCTTCTTGGATGTAATAATAAGAATGTATGTTTGTAGGTGATACGTGAAGTACTAATGTTTACAGCTAACCTTCAAATGATTCAGGGAGAAAATGGAGTTCTTATCTCTAGAGAAATAATGTAGAAAAAATATACAAATAAGTGGCTGTAGATGAAGAACATATGGGTTCTCGTGGCAATACTTTCAACTTTCCTATTTTTTTTGCCCTCCCGTTGTTCACCGATTTGCTCGAGCGGGCCCAGTAACGTCTCCATTGGAGACTTTGTTGTTACTGTGTTTGGCATATCGAATACAGCATGGGGAGCTTGCCAGGCTCTGCCGTGTGGGCGAGATACTCTTGGTAGCTTGGAAATTTTTCAGAACAAAAATACTCAGGGAAAATCTTGGGGTGACAACAGAATCCTGCAGCTCACATGTTTTAAGGAGGAAATCATACTTACCTAGGGCTAATTTCATCAGAAATATCCACAATGTCATCCAACTGGGCCACCTGATCCTTCTTCCCATTCTCCGCCACTAAGATCCGGATTTTCTTTAGGCATGCTTTAGAGGCTCTTGCCAGTGCAAGACATGGAACCAGAAGCTCTTGATCTTGGTCTGACCAATATAATTCTTGGTTGTTTGGAAACTCCAGAACATCCATTTCATCACCATGGTTGTCAGAATTGTCTTCTTCAGTGTCATTCAAGAGGCCAGAGTAAGGGTCATATTCTTCCATGGCCTGAGACAGAGTTATCATGGTATATGTGAACATGAACTGTTGTACTCCCAGCATCATGTCTTAAATTTGAATTGCCCCCTAAACCTCAGCCAGCAAATATACTAATGGCAACACAGTTGAATGACTTTATAAACTTTATTTTCACTTTCTTAGTTTAACAACAGAAGTGAATGATACTAAACCACACACAGGATTTTGGTGGGAGAGGAAAGACGGAGGATAGGCATGAAGATAGAACCCAACCTGATCAATGTTCAAGAAATCTCTCAATGATCAATTCTCATCACTAAATACAGAGTTGCCTACCTTCCAATGACCAACAAAGACAGAGCTCTCCTCACCTGCTCCATTTCCTCATATGCGTCCTTCACAAAATCCACATTTTTTGTCAGCATTAAAAGGGCTGCAGCTTTGTTATCTACGAGTAAAAAACCAGAAGCCCTAGAATTAGAAAAAAATACCCCCAAATTCTCTTGTCTACAAAGGGCAAGCCACTAAGTTCCCACTTGAGTGTCAAGGACAGTCAGTCAACATGATGGCAGCCTAATATAAAGTTCTTCTCAGATACATCCTCTGGCTACCCAGGTAGGCTAACACTGTTTGTCATTCACCAAAGAAGATATAAAATAGTCATATGACGTTTCTCATCACAGTCCTCTTGGATCACCATTGTTTTTACCTAGCTGGCTCTCTGCCCCATAACTGCTTCAGTGTGTCTATTAATACTGCCCCTGGGATATCTGCTGAGCAAAAAAAAAATATTTGTTCTGCAGGAAAATTAAAGATACTATGGTACATCTACATAATGCAATACTATGCAGCTATTTAGATGAAGTTGTGATATTTGCCTATAAGTGGGTGAACATGGAAATTATCATGCTAAGTGAAATGAGTCAGAAAGAGAGAAACAGACATGGAGTGACTGCACTCATTTGTGGAATATAAAATAACACAGTATGAGAATAACACCCAAGGACAGTAGAGACAAGAGCTAGGGGGATTGCTCCATGGTTGGAAACCTGCCTCATGTGCTAGGGGAGAAGGCAGTTGGGAAAGAGAAGGGATCGCTAAGTCAATGATGGTTGGAGGGATCACTCAGGAGGGAGGTATGTACTGAAAACAGATAAAGGACCAAACATGATGGTCTCTTAGTATCTGTATTGCAAACCATAATGTCGAAAAGTAGAGTAGAAAGGAAAGTGCCTGCCATACAGTGGGTGGGGTGGGGGTGGTGGGAGGGATACTAGGGACATTGGCGGTAGGAAATGTACACTGGTAGAGGGATGGGTGTTCGATCATTGTATGACTGAAAATCATGAAAGCTTTGTAACTGAATCTCATGGTGACTCAATAGAAAAAGAAAGAAAGAAAGGGAGGGAGGGAGGGCAGGAAAAGTTTTATAGCATGAGGGGAGTGTGAATTTAGAAATGTAGTAATTAAAAGGCTGAAGAAGAACTAAGAAATATTAATTCCTATCTTATGATGCTGATGCATCACTAAATTCTGTATGAGGTAAAATATACACATATCCAGGGGTGAAGAAGCTTGCTTTGCATCCTGCCAGTCTTGGTTCCAACCTGTGGTACTGAATCGGTGCCCAGAGCAAGCTCCTTAGCACAGCTGGGTATGGACCAAAAACAAAAACATAAATAAAAAGAAAGAAATGAAAAGAAACATACATGCTATAAAACTGAAATCTAGAGATAACAACTGCCTGAGTTCAACTGCCTGAGTCAGCAAAATTGATGGCCTATTTCCCATTCACCCACCTCTTGGTATCCGAGGCACTTGCTCACATGCCACACAGACACTATTGCAGGAAATAAAGTCATTGTTCTCAGGGCTGGGGAAAGAAATTAATAAAGTATATCAATAGCATAGGCTCATTGCTCCTTTCTGCCTCTCATGATTTTTAGCTATTGATAAATCTGCTATTAAAAATAAATCATTTCCCTCCCAGAAGTAAGGAACCCAACTAACTGATAAGCCCAACTATGGCATTACTACCTTTGGACTGGTATGACAAGCACATCCACAAGCTGAGCCACGCCATCCATGATGTCCAGAGTAGCATTCCGTACAAGCTTTCTCAGGGTGATTCCTAGAGCCAAACCCAAGAATAAACAGTCTTCTTTTTGCCTGAGCATCTGAGCACTACAGAACTTGGATGAGATTAAAGCAATATATACTAACATGCCTTAACAGAAGTGCCTATGCAAAATTCAAGTATTACTTATAATCCATGTCATTTTCCCACACCTCCCACCATTCCTTAGTGCTGTTCTGCAAGACACACATGAAATAAAATTTTCCCATGACAGCATGTATGCTTTCATCAAGAACAGTAGTCCCTTGACAACTGTGGATTAAACACTTGATATTTAAACTATTGGTGAGTAACCCTGAACAACTGCAAAGCATATACTCATTTAGAATTTTTCCATGATTATAATCAAGGCAATAATATAGAGATGGAAGTCACTTAATGTGTGAGAGCTCAGAAACAGGATGTGATAAAATATGGGTGGGAAAGACTAAGGATGGCCTGGGTCTGAGATCCATCCAGAGTCTGTAGTATTTGGAATCAGTCAAGGAAGGTGAGAACAAAGCAACTGTACCTTAGTATAAAGCCTCGTTTGGGTGCTGGAGAGATGCGACAGGGGTTAAGGTGCAAGCCTTGCATGCAGCAGACCCCAGTATGATCTGTGGCACCACATGGTCTTCCCAGAACCACTGAGTATGACCCTGGAGGCCCATGCAAACCATCAATCTGGCTTGATAATCCTGGGCACTGCATTTCATCATGTTTCTCAGACCCTCACATTAAACTGCAGACCCAGGAGGTCAAATACTGCTGGGAATGACCCTGAGCCTCTTGAGCACCATTTGGAGAGTTCCCTCCTGCCATAGGAAATCCTCTTTTGGCTTACCTTGTTCCTTGGGGAATGAGTAGTAAATTGCAGTAATTGCTTTTATGGCAGCATGGATTTGCTCACAGAACCTCTGGGTTTCCTATGAGATGACAGAACAATTTCAGAATGAAAAAGGATTATAAGTATTACCAAATATTTTCTAAGCTTTATTATGTGTGTTAGGCCTCATGCTATTCTCAGCACATATCAGAGAGGAGTTTGTTAGACCCGAGATACTGAGCTGACAGATTGATAAAGCATTAAGAAACAAAAGGAGAAACTTATTTTTGATCCTCTATACTTCAAGATGTGTATCTGATCTGCTATGACATATCCGGCATATTTTAGACCAGGTATTTTACAACTATGGCTCCACTGCCTGTTTTTATAAACAAAGTATTATTACTGGTACACAGTTTACATGTTATTTTGTTTGTGTCCGCAGGGATCTAACCCAGGATCTCAAACATGCAAAGCAACTTAGCAATCTCAATATCATATATCAACTTCCCCTTATATTATCTATTGTTGTGTTTGTACGAGAAAGGCAGAGCTCATTGGGCCTGCAAAGCTTAAAATATTTTATCTAACAGAATTATGATATAAATAAAAGTAATTAGCAGAGCCTTTACAAGGCTCATTGTCAATTACTTTCCTTTCAAGCAGTCACTGACTCTTCTTTTTGTTCCTCCCTTCTCCACTATGCAAGTGTGATTGATTAGTGCCGGTCCACAAACTACTGCTACTTGGAGATAGATAAAAACAGTGATTGAGAGTGTTTAAACTTCTTTTAGTGCTGGGGATCAAACCCAGGGCATCACACATACTAGTCGAGCACTCTACTATGAAGCCAATTCCCAGTCCACTATTTACAAATTCTTATGACAACATGACATTGTTTCAATATCCAATTATTTTATTAAAATACTAATCTAAGTGGACACTCTGACACTCAGTGTAGGTAGGATGTGGTGTTGGAACATTGTATACATGATGCTCTATCATTAACAACACTGGAAATCACTGGTGCCTTAAGTAAAATTTTAAAATAAAAAAAATACTAATCAAGACTGGAGTTGAAAACAAAAAACTTCTTCTAATGTTCCCAGAATCATTCTGCCAGAAGTGATTCCTGAGTGGTGCAGAGTCAGGAGTAAGCCCTGAGCATCACTGGGTGTGGCCTCAAAAACCAAAAAAATAAAAAAATAAAAAATAAAAAAAAATAAAAAGAAATCCAGATCTTTGTTGACTCTTCATAGTTTCTTACTAACTGTGCATTTTTTTAAATTTTTGGTTTGGGGGTCCATACCCAGCATTGTTCAGGGCCCAATCCTGGCTCTGCACTCAGAGGATCATATGTGGTGACCGAGATTGAACCCAGGTCTTCCACATGCAAGGCAAGTGCCTATCCACTGTACTCTCTCTGTGGATTACTCTCGGGCTGTGCATTTTACCAGAAAGTCCTAATATATCTGAAAGAAAAGAATCAGCAGATAGGAAAAATAAGGCGATATTATTACTCCCTTTGAAATAAACGTTGACTTTCTTCCACCAGGCTTTTAAAGTGGAATACAGTCAATATTCATCTCCTGTTCTTCAAACTCAGATTTCTGAGGTTTCTATGATGGGGGAAGAGTTCATCATGTATTAAATTCCTGCTCCACTGGCCATTGACCTTTACCTGAAGCACAACGCGTTTGCTCATTTATCAAATGGGGATGGTGTGTGGTAACAGCTAGTAAAAAAGCTTTAAAAAAAAAAAGGTATATCAGAAAGTAAATAGCGAGGGCGAACTCTGGATGAAACACTCAGAAGTCTTGCCTACTTCATGCCACGAAGTGAGAAGTGCCACCTCATTCGCAGGATGAGAAAAAGCAAATCAGCATGTGAAAAGAGGGCAGAAGGAAAGGAAAGCTCGAGAGAGGGTTCTTCAGGAACCAAGAGGCAGCCCGAGGTCGCCAGGAAAAGCGAGCTCACCTGTGGAGAAGGCGGTGGGAGTCGAGAGAAGGCTGTGGTCAGAATCGTGGCTTCCCTTGACACGATCACGGCCGCCTCATCTAAGGGTGAGAGAAGAGGGCAGGTGCCAGCTGCCAACAGCTCAAAGAAGGCAGGTCGAGTGTGCCCGGCCCACCCTCACCGGCAGAGAAGCCCCAACACCCACCACCCCCAAACCTCAGTTTCCAATTTCCATCTCGTTGGTGGGGTGGATGAGCGACGGGGCACGATCCGAGGGCAATGGGAGAGTCAGAGGTCGGGGCGCAGGGAGGAGAAACGGGAGACGCGAACGCGGGGCACTCACTGAGTCTTCTCCAAAACGTCTCGCGATGGAACTCCTTGGTGGGCTCCTGGACTTCGCCCACTGGCGGACGGGGCCGTGTGCGCCCGGCGGAGGCGAAAACAGAGCCTGAGGTGAGGGGGTCTCTCCCCGACCTCCGCTCCAGCCGCCTCCCGCCCCAACTGCGTCACTCACCCCGCACCCCGGGCAGGAGCGACCTCAGCTCCTCGGCCAAGTGCCGGAGTTGTTCTAAAGGCGGCGCCAGTGGGGCCACTGAGGCCGCAGGTCCAGCCGCACTCGCCGCACTCATCTCGGACGCTCGCCGGGTCCCGGCCGGGTAAGAGACTTCGGCGTCCGTTGAGGAAGCCGCACGCAGGAGGCCGCCCAACTTCCGGGTGTCAACGTCTCTCGGCTGCCGGTTTCCGACCACCGCCTTCGCCCCGCCCCGCCCCGCCCCCGAGGACTGGCCCCGCCCCCCACCCCGGCCGCCCGGACGCGCAAGCCAGGACCCGAGTCTTTATCTTCGTCTTTCATTTATTTACTCGCAAGCTGAAAGCCCATAAACACGTGGGAAAACGGCTCTGTGAGCGAATATCACAAGAACAGCCAGGTTAGGCCCAAGACCACAGTAGCTCCCTGTTCCTGAAATGGCACCCCTGACAACGATTAGATACTTTGCTCGAGGTAAACCCGGAAACGTCCCGTGAAACGCCCCAGTGAAAGGCCCGGATCAGAGCTTTCACTTCAGGAAAGTCAATCAACACTTTTCCTTCTTGGACAAGGCAGGAATCATGACATTATTGAGACTTCGGCAGTCCATTCTGCAGGAATCAGTCGTGAGGACCCCCCTCACCCCCACCCCCAGCTCCCGGGCGTCCAAGACGCGGCTGTTCCGTGAAGGTCGCCCGTGGAGGGTGGCCTTCAGCCTCCAGCTGGGGCAGGGCCTGGGCGCTGCAGCCGGGCCCGTTGCGAGACAGGACCTTCAGTAGCTCATTTGGCTTTTTAATTGCCCTATGAAGGTTCCAAGCTCGTTGGAGTTCCGTGTCCACGCACAACGAACGAGGACAGGTGTCAGCAGAGTCAACCAGGTCCGTAAAGGGGACAACAGAAAGGCTACAGTGCCATATGTGAAGTGAAGAAAGAAGCAGGAATAAATCTGCCAGAGGTAGAGCAGTAACATACATAGGTGAACAGGTAGAATTCGCAAGCGTTTGCCTTGGAGATGAGACCTGAAGCTGTGGCCAAAGCACCGATGCAGCAAACTCCAACACAAGTAAGCCATGAGGGGGATGTTGAAAAACACCAGCTGGAGAGGAACAAGACCAACCATTAGCTTCCTAGCAAGCCTGACTGGGAACATATGATTGGTGACTCCTGGTTTGTGGCTTTTATCTTCTGGGGGTCAACTCTGATTTTCTCTGCCTACAACACACTTGCTTAGAACATTCAACAGTTGGCTTGTAGTTAGTTGTATTTATGCTTCTATCTTTTGATTGAAAAGTAGGTATTTTTGTTCCGTTGACGCTTTCAGTGTTTAAAAAGAGAGAAATGAACTGTGGGCATGTGTGTACACACATACACACACACACAGTTTTGGGAGGGGAGAGAAGAAGAAGGGGTTGTGTATCTTTTTTCTTACCTGCATATTATTTGAAGTACCATAGGTACTGGAATACAAATTACAAGATTTAAGTTAGAGTAATTCATGAGTGGCTACTGTATGAATCACTCATTCACCAGTAATTGAACAGCCAAGTTCAAAAGGTGCATCACAGAGAAGATTATATTTGAACAGTGAGAAGACAGACATCCCTCCCCCTACAAAAAGTAATTACAGATGGTGATAAATTCAAAGAAGGAAATAAGTGGGTTGTGAAGGTAATTAAGAGATGGGCTTAGGTCTAAAAGACAGGAATGTGGGTATAGGAGGAAGTATATTATTTCAGGCAGAAGAAACAAATGAAAAGTCAGAGGTAGGAGACTTTTGGTCTCTTTAGTTTTAGGAATGGGAAGGCAAACCCAGTGGTGCTCAGGAAACCATATGGGGTGCCAGGGATTGAACCTGGGTTGGTTACATGCAAGGCAAATACCTTAACCCTTGTAATATCTTGGGCCCTGTGTTTAAATAATCTGTAACATGACAACTGCAGTAATGAGCAGGACCCAGAGTATATGACTGCCCTGCTTAAAGGGTTCTAAGATGAGAAGTGAGTGGTCAGATTAAGGTCAGATTTAAGTTTTTTTTTAATGTCTCCAGGGAAGCTTGGCACACTACTGGCAATATGTGGCTCAGCTGTAAGGACTTATAGTTTGGTGCTTGGGACCACAGGGACCACCACAGGCATGCTCAGGGTCCACCAGAGTTACATCTGGTGGTGCTCAGAGGGTGATACAGTACTGGGGATCAAAGTTGGCTCCTCCAACATACAGGCATGTGCTTTAATCCTTTGAACTATCTCCCAAGCCTGGGTTAAAATTTTCAAAGGACCAGTAGATAGTCTTGGCAAACAGAGTACAAAGAGGCAGAGTGCCAGCAGGGAGCCGGTGATGAGGTTACAGAAGTAACCTAGACAAAAAAGTTTATGACTTGGAGAGATAGTATAGTGGGTAGAGCATTTGCCTTGCATGTGCCTGACTTGGGTATGATCCCCAGCATTACAAATGGTCCCTGGCAGAGCCAAGAGTGATCCCCAAAAGCAGAGACAGGAGTAAGCCCTGAACACCATTGGGTATGGCCCCAAAGCCAAAATAAATATAATGAAACAAAAAGATTATGACTTAGACTGCCACAGGAGAGAAGTGGTAGGTCCTGATGCTTTAGCAAAGAGGATGCACTTGATGATGAAATAAAAACTTTTGAGGAAAGTGAAGAACTGAGGCCACACATCCTAGAGAAATGATAGAGTCATATCTCTATCACAGCTACTATCACTCATTCTACAAATCATTCCAATGCCTCCCTAGTTGGGGAATAGTATTGATCATTCTGGGAAACAATGTAAAGCTGAGCTAGATGCAAGACCTATATAAACATTTATAAAGTATAGTTACACAAAGAATGTTCTGGTTTGTAGGCAGTGTCAACTAGGTAGGGGCAACACATCTTTCTCTAATCCTGCTGATCATATTTTACTGCCCCATTAGGAGGTTGTAAGTGGTTTTCAGATTGTGTTTTTGAATTCCTTATCACCTTTGATATTTTCCCTAAGCCCCATTAGATTAAGGAAATAAATAATTGGCTAAATATTTTCCAAATCTACTTATGGAACATTCCTACATATCAGAGAAGGACAAAATGTCCCGAAATTGCACATTTTACTTCTCACCTGGAGAATTCCAATTACAAATGTTGAACTGCCTTGTAGAAAATGCCCATCCACATAGATTCCAAAGGAAAAGCAGCAACCGTATTTGCCTTTAGTGATTTCACCTACAAACCACGGTCCTGAAAGAGGGGCAATGGATAGGAAAGGATAAAATTAAGTAACGATTACTGTAAAGACATAGTCATTAGTTGCAGTTATAGGTAAAAAATAATGAAGAAACATGACACTAGGCATCTGTAAGCATTTTATTCACATAACTTTTCTTCTTTGCTAATCTTTAGGTTGTACCCCATGTCCAATAAAATTATATGCTCCATCACTTCATATTCTTCCAGATTATAAAACTGACTGAGTACATGTAACACCTGGAAGAAACATGCAACTTCTAGAGACCAGAAACAGATTAAAAGTATAGTTACAAATTTTAAGAGACTTTTGAAATATTAGTCTTAATAAAATGCATTCCATTTCCTTTAAGAAGCCTCTAGGTATTACACAGAAGTTAATTTTCCAAGTAACTAAGATCCCTTTACCAGTAAAATTTCAAGCACTGTAATCTTTCTAAAATGCACTTCTTTTCTTCTCTTTCTGCTTAATGTATTCAACCTTTTCTTACTAATCCACAATCAATACTTTATATAACAATTACATATTCAGGGTTAGCATTTACAAGGTTTATAACAATTACAAAGTTTACAAACAATAACAAAGTTTAACTTGCTTCTAGAATGACTGAATGACTTTTCTCTCCTATTATTTACTGTCCCTTCTCAGTGTTCAGGTTTCTGGAACTATATATTGTCAAGAGGGACAGTCACACTTCATTTCTCAAAACACAGATACCATTATTTTCTGGAAAAATATCAACTTTAAAATACCTAGGTGATTTCCTCGTGTGTATATTATTTTTTTTCTTTTTGGGTCACACCCACACTAAGCTCAGGGGTTACCCCTAGCTCTGTACTCAGGAATCACTTCTTCTGGTGCTTGGGAACCATATGGGACGCGGGGTCTCAAACCTGAGTTGGCCGCATGCAAGGCTCTACCCACTGTACTATCACTCCCGCCCCCCTCATATGTATGTTATATAAACTCCATTAAATATACATTAGTCTCGGGCTAAAGTGATAGTACAGTGTGTATGGTGCTTGCTTTGCACATTGCCAGGAAGTCCAGATTTGATCCCTAACACCTGAGCCCACCAAGAGTGATCCCAGAACACAGAGCCAGGATAAACCCTGAGTACTGCCAGGTGTAGCCCAAAACCAAAAATAAATAAATATGTATTAGTCTAAAAAAATATTTTCCATTCAAGCTTCAACTTCTAAAATTGAAGCTGTTTCCACTATTTTTTTTTTAGAGCCAAGAACCAAGTCACTTGCTTTGCCTCATAGTTAGTGACGTAATTGTCCAAAATAGCTTCAACCTGTCTTCTAACAAGGGTGTGAATCTTCACAGGGAACTCAGCCAAGCTAATTATACAGAATTAGAACATGTCATATTTTTAATTGACCCTACTTCCTGTTCTCTGGTAAGCTACCAATGAGCAAAGAAAAGTACAAAGGAATAAAAACTGAGTATAAATGACAAGTTACTAGGTAAATCTTTTCTAATTGAATTGAGTTACTAAAGAACATTAGTTTAGAAAAAAAAACAACTTGCAGGGAGAGATAGTATAGCAGATACAGTGTTTGCTTTGCACTAGGCATACCAGGGTTCCATCCCCAGCACCATATGGTCCCCAGAGCACAGCCAGGAATGATTCCTGAACACAGTGCCAGGAGTAAACCCTGAGGTGTGATCCAAAAACAAAACAAAAAAACTTGTGTAGTTTTATCTTCATCTAAGTGGTTAAATGATTTTGTAAGAATTACTCCACCCCTCTCAGAGAGCCCAGCAAGCTACCAAGACTATCTCGCCCCCAGGGGAAATCCTGGCAGGCTACAAGTGATGTATATGATATGCCAAACACAGTAACAACAAGTCTCACAATGGAGACGTTATTGGGCCCGCTTGAGCAAATCGACGAACAATGGGAGGACAGTGCTACAGTGCTACATGATAATAGAAGATTTCAGATATAGCTAAATTGAGAGCTCATCACAGGTTTTCTCTTTTTTGAGCTTTTTTTTTCTTAGTAGCTACATATTAGTAAATAGTCACTAAACTACATCCTAGACATTCTGCTTAGTACTAGTCACTGAATAAACAGGAGAGACATCAATAGATAGTCTAATGAGGCTAATGATAGACATGGATCAGATCATCATAAATTCTTATAGTCACAAAGAAAATGAAAGTCTAGAGAAACAGAAGATAACACTTTAAGGTCAGCAAAGAAGGCGTTGATGACCTTAAAATCTTTGAGGCGATGGCTTCTTTCTTCTATTAGGCTCCTATATAAATACTAACTTTGTAGTGGTACTCTAAAATTAACTTAGTAGCAACTAAATGTTCTTCAACTGTGTTAAGGAAGAAATTTATTTCCTAAGACTATGTCTCAGAAAATGGTGAACCATGTGCCATGTGATACTCTGGACCCCAAATGACTCTTCTCTCAAAATTCTCAATATATCCTTTGCAAAACACATCACCATCTTGGATTTTCTAATCAACTTACCCAGCACTGTATAGAGGGTCAACAACAACACCGAATAGTAGAAGATGTTTAATTTGCTCAACACATGAAGGGAAAATGAGGTCAAATTTAGAAATCCTGGAGGTCCTAAACAGAATAAATTTGAAAAATCCAGTAAACACACACCAAGTTCAATTTCCTTATAACACTTTCTAGAAGACTTCTATGAGCTATCTACAGTACATTTAGTGAATCTTGTGTTAGATGGTAACTATACAGATGTTCTATTTTAAATTTAGAAGTTAGTATTCTAGTAAACCACTCAGAATTGCAGAGGGTAGGAAGACAAAACAATGCTGAAGTGAGACTTGCACACTTACCAGGCAAACACAAGCACACCTTTTTCTTTCTGGTGACTGAGAAGTAACTACCAAAGGACTATACTATTTTATCTTCCTGTATGTTTGAAATGTAACTCTGTGCTCAAAGGATGATCAGATACTTTCCCTATAGAATTTGTTATTTAAATGTGTAAACTTCTTTTTTTTCCATAAATCCAGATAGTTTTATTTGAAGGCAATACTAAAATAATTAAATTACACAAACAGCATGTTAAACACAAAATGTATATATTTGTTATTTTGATGAAAATAGTATTGATAGGTAAAGTTATTTTATTTTTTTTAATTATATTTATTTATTTTTTAATAGTGAGGCACCATGAGGTACAGTTGTAGGCTTACACATTTTTGTGTTTGGGTTTCGATTATACAATGATCAAACACCCATCCCTCCACCAGTGCGCATTTCCCACCACCACGGATCCCAGCATCCCCTCCCCCCCCGCAGCCCCCATCCCACCCTGCCACTGTCGCAGGGCATTTCCCTCTCTCTCCTTTTGAGTGCCATGGTCTGCAAAAGAGGCATTGAGTGGCAATCATGCTGGTCGACAGTCTACCCTCAGCATGCTCTCCCATCATGGGCGGATCCTCCCAACACCCTTTATTTGGTGTTCCCTTCTCTTTCTGAGCTCCCCCTTCCCCTAACATGTGTGGTTGTCCTCCGGGTCATTGAGTAAAATTCCTGGTACTAATCTCTGCCATACTTGGGTGTTAGTTTCCTATTTTGTTACTTTATGTTCCCCAGATGAATGCAATCTTTCTATGTCTATCCCTTTCTTTCTGAGTCATTTCGCTTAACATGATACTTTCCATGTAGTACCACTTGTATGTAAACTTCATGACTTCGTCTTTTCTAACAGCTACATAGTACTCCATTGTGTAAATGTGCCAGAGTTTCTTCAGAGGTGTACAAAATATATCAGAAGACATCAAAATTATTAAAATTTATCCAATATAATCTTAAGTATTAATGTCTGATAAAATATTCAATTCGTGTTGTAAAGAAACTGGCTAATTGCATACAGTCATGACAGACCTCAGGATTCAGAGAAACAAGAGCTCTCTGACTTTGTAAAAATAAAGTAGAGATGCTAGCACAGGTTAAGGCACTTGCCTTGCATGGGGCCAACCCCAGTTTGATCCCCAGCACCATATATGGTTGCATGAGCCTTCCAGGAGTTAAAATGATTTAGAAAAAAATTTCAAGTTAGCAGTAGTCACCTGGGAAAAAAGTACATAGCAGAAATAAGCACTTATATATATAAAATAGTGAAAAATGGTCCAGGCTGAAATATGAAGATGACTAGTTAAGTAAGGTAAGATTGCTGTAGAATTTCTAGTATTTATCAGAAATGTTTGGTTATTTTATTTTGAGGGAGTTGGGAAGATTCCCTAGCAGTCCTTTAGGGCTGGCAATACTCAGCCCTAAGTATTGGGTATGATGATTAGTTGCTCACGTCTAGGACTAAGGTGCTGCTTGGGCCTACCTAGTGGTGCTAGTGGTGACAAGGACCACACCTGGAGATTCTGGGGGATATAAGTGCTGGAAAGTGAAATCTGGGCCTGAACTCATACACAGCATGTGCTCCAACCCTTTGAGCTATCTTATCCAGCCACTATGTTTGGTCATTTTTGAACTATATTATGTTCCCCTATTTTTGTTGTACCTCATTCTAACTGCTATGTGGCAACAAAAAATTAAATTCCACTTTTAAAAAACTGGGGGCCACATCTTATGATGCTCAGGGGCTACTACTAACTCAGCACTCAGAAGTTATTCCTAGTGGTGGTCAGGGGATGATATGGGATACCAGGGATCAAGCCTGGGTTGGCTGTGTGCAAGGCAAGCAACCTAGCCACTGTACTACCATTCTGACCTGAATTCCACTTTTTAATGTAGAGTACTGTGGAAAGAGAATGACAGTTTGAAGGATGTACCTCATCAAAATTAAAGACAATTTATTTTGATATCTGTTAATGGTGAGGACATTATGGATTACTTTTATTTCTTTAGGGGCCATATCCCGGCACTGTGCTCAGGGACCACACCTGGCAGCACTCAGGGGACCATATGGGTGCTAAGGATTGAACCCAGGTCAGCAGTATGCAAGGCAAGTGCCCTCCCCACTGTACTGTCTCTTCCACCCAGTTATGTGCTACTTTAAAATACAGTCATCTAGATTCTCAAAAAATTAGAAATTGAGCTCCCATTTGACCCAGCAATACCACTCCTGGGAATATATCCCAGAGAGGCAAAAATGTATAGTCGAAGTGACATCTGCACTTGTTTGTTCATTGCAGCACTCTTTACAATAGCCAGAAACTGGAAGAAACCTGAATGCCCAAGAACAGATGACTGGTTAAAGAAACTTTGGTACATCTACACAATGGAGTACTATGTAGCTCTTAGAAAAGATGAAGTCATGAAATTTACATACAAGTGGTACAATATGGAAAGTATCATGCTAAGCGAAATGAGTCAGAAAGAGAGGGATAGACATAGAAAGATTGCATTCATCTGGGGGATATAAAGTAACAAAGTATGAGATTAATACCCAAGAATAGCTGAGATCAGCACCAGGAGGATTACTCCATAACTTAGAGGCCAGCCGGGTATCCTAGAGGAAAGGGCTGTTCAGATAGAGAAGGGAGCACCAAATAAAGGATGTTTGGAGGATCCTCCCAGGAGGGGAGATGCATGTCGAAAGTAGACTATGGACTGAACATGTTTGCCACTCAATGCCTCTTTTGCAGACCACAACACCCAAAAGGAGAGAGAGAACACAGGGGATTTCCCTGCCACAGAGACAGGGGGGTGGGGGGATGGGGGTGGGAGGGATATTATCCATGGTGGTGGAAAATGGGCACTGGTGGAGGGATGGGTATCTGATCATTGTATAATTGAAACCAAAGCACAAAAAATTGTAAATCTACAACTTTAAAAAAAATAAAATAAAATAAAGGGAAAAAAAAAAATACAGTCATCTAGTAATATAAAGGACCATGACAAGGGCACAAGAGCCCAGGAATGTGGCTTAGTGGTAGAGTGCCTCCTTAGAGGAGTGAAGCTACAAGTTTGATGGTGAGCACCACTACATATCACCACATATGATTTCTGGCAGCAATGCAATGCACACCCAAGAGCATGTGCATACTTCAATCAAATATGTGGAAAAAGCACTACAAAGTGTACCACCCCTGGACAGCATAACAACAACAAAGGGAAGGGAAAAGGAAAACATGAATCAAGACTAACCTTTATGCTCTGCATATCCTCTGTACCTAAAAGCAATGACAACGGTGAGCTGAATCAGCACAATCATCACAAAAACAACCCGGGCCTGCAGAGAAATAGATGCTAATGTGAAACGGATACTTGGAGACATCTTTATTTAAAGCTTTTTCAAAATGACCTCATTAACAAAAATAGAAATCACCAGTTAAAGGTCCATGAAAAAAACACACTCAAAAAACTGATAGATTGCCTCAGCATTACATTTTTTAAAACTTGGATACTTAGACAATGTTGAACTAAGTAATTTTCTAGTTCTATAAAGCCATCAAATTTAAATGGTCTACTTTCATTGTATCAGCAGAAGTTTAATTTGTTTTTCTGTTTGTTTTTAGGATGAAGCAATTCTTTCTTTTCAGTCATTACTACAAAGACGTTTTCAGTAAATAAACTGTCTAGTGGAGAAAAGAGAAAGGAAAATCCTTGTCTAGCTGTCAGCAGTTGCTCTGTGGATCTTCCAATCCCACATGAAGTGGAGGTTCCGCCCTTCCTTCATAGCTTATCCACTCATCCTGCTGCTTCTTGATGGTACTCAGGTTTTTTTGCCAAAGCAGATATTCAATGAAACCAAGTTCTACCTTATATTCTTTGTTCAAATACCACCAACTCCATCACATCCTGCACCTTCCTTTTCAAAAGTACAGCACCAAGCTGGAATCCGTGAAGCTGCTGTGTTTTGGATAATCATCCAGTTATCTGACGGAAATGTGGGACATTTCACAAATTTACATGCCATCCTTGCACAGGAGCCAGATCGTCTTTTCTGTATCATTCCAATTTTAGTATAAATTGTGCTGAACAAATTAATTTGTTTCATTTTATTTAAAACCAATCCAAAACCATACTATAGATTGAGTGCATAGAGATTGCATTTTCTTTTGCTTTCTCAATCGAGAAGGTCATTCACTTGGAGATCAAAACGACATGTATTCTAGGTTTATTTCTCAAAGTATGGTGTGGTGTAGTATGGTCCCCAGTCATTTTAGTTATCCAGGCATAAGCTTGGCTGGAGCGATAGCACAGCAGGTAGGGTGTTCGCCTTGCACATGGCTGACCCGGGTTCAATTCCTCCGTCCCTCTCAAAGAGCCCAGCAAGCTACTCGCCCACACAACAAAGCCTGGCAAGCTCCCCATGGCGTATCTGTTATGCCAAAAACAGTAACAAGTCTCATAATGGAGATGTTACTGGTGCCCGCTGAAGCAAATCAATGAACAATGGGAGGACAGGACAGTGCTACAGGCATAAGCTCAACCCTAATGAATAAGACCCTGCTTCTGACTTATCTCCAGATAATTCATAAGTATACTAGTGTTTTCAAAGCCTCTTCTTCTAAGTGACTATCAAAAATTCCCCAAAGAAAAAATGACACAAAAATTTGTAAAATTATACATGAATGCCCAATAGTCATAATTTTACAAAGCTCAATCATACAAGTAATGAAAGTAAATTAAAATAACAACCATTTCTCATTTCAGCTCTGTTCTGGGAGATGGAATTAAAGGAAGTTTAAGTTGTCTTCTGAACATTGTAGTGTCTATATATTCCATAGGATAGGTAAGATCTTAAGGATCTTAAGGAATAAAGTAAAAGTTACCACAATTTCTCCAGAAGACAATTTGACAGTGTACATTAAAAACTAAAAACAGTGACTGAACAGATAGCTCAGTGATCTGGACTACATGCTTTGCATGAAGGAGGCCTTCGTTTGACCATCCCAATACCCTTGCATACCAGGTTTGGTCTCCGAGCACAGCGCAGGAAATACCCCCTGAGTACTGCCAGTGTGACCCACAAAACCAGAAAGCAAGAAACCCTAAAACCAAAACTATAATGATTTATTCATTCAAGAAATATATGTTAAGGGGCACTCTCTATTATATATACCAACAGACAATCCTTGACAGTATGAACTTTTATTTTAATGTAGGAGTGTAAACTTTAAAAAATGTAATAAATAATTTGTATAATTATGTAGTGAGAAAAAATATTGTAAACTATAAATGTGTCCACATTGATCAAGCAATTAATTCACTTTAGTAATTTAACTCCCTAAACTTATGTACATATATGCTTAGTTGCAAACAGTATTTATACAAGTACAAAAACTGGAAACAAGTGTCCAACAATAGGGGAGGTTAAATTAATAAATAAATATGACAACATAATGTAGCCAATACATATCATTATTCAAATAATTTAAGGGGCCAGAGAGACAGTACAGTGAGCAAGGTGCCCCCCATGCATGCAGCTGACCCGGATTCAATCCATGCCACCACATATGGCTCTTTGAGCACTGAGCCAGGGATAAGCCCTAAGTACAGCTGCGTGTGGCCCCAGAATCTCTCAAAATAAAAAATAACATAAATTGATGTGAGAAAACGTGTAACAAATTCCTCAGTGAACTAAAATCTGAGAGAATAAAAATATCTTTTTATACTGAAAATTCAGAGAAATATGGGGAAAGTAAGGAACAAAGGCAAAAAAATATAGTGAGTGTGTGATAAAGAATGATATGGGACTGATTTTTATAAATTTTTAAGTATTCTACATTATGTATTGTTTATATAAGAAGAAATTTTTTAAAGACATTTTAACTGGTCCCTATAATTACCTTAGTTATCCAGATTCTATGGTAATGATTAGCAACAGATCCCTAAATAGAGATTAGAAACATATTCCCAAATAGGTAAACCTATCTACACCTATACTTTGATTTTATTCTTTCAGGTAAATAATTAAAATTTAAATTTTAAAATATTCAGTTTTCACCTTATTTCTTTGGACATATCAAATCCATTAAAAACACACAGAACATTTAGTTGAATTTACTTACCACAATGTAGTGATCAGTAAGGAGAATAAATGATGCTATGGGATTAAATTTGAGATGTATATTCTCTTGAATAGAAAATACATGTTGAACACTTTTACTTCTTCCTGCAGAATCCTAGTTATAAGCACAGCAGATTAACTGTCATGTATGTTTACATATGTATATATTCCAAGATTAAGCTTCTAGTAACTTTGTCAGTTATATCTGTAATTTGCGATAGCACAGCGGTAAGCTGTTTGCCTTACACGCGGCCAACATGGCCAACCCGAGTTCGATTCCTCCGCCCCTCTCAGAGAGCCCGGCAAGCTACCGAGAGTATCTCGCCCGCACGGCAGAGCCTGGCAAGCTCCCTGTGACTATTCGATATGCCAGACACAGTAACAACAAAGTCTCCAATGGAGACGTTACTGGGCGCGCTCGAGCAAATCGAAGATCAACAGGAGGGCCTTTACTTTACTTACTTTACTTATATCTGAGTATTTACTTTTGATTCTTCCTATAAACACTGTAATCAGAATGTCTTTCAAACTGTATAATTCAGGGCTGGAGCAATAGTACAGCAGACATGGCATTTGCCTTGCATGTAGTCTCTCGGACTCGGTTCCCAGCATCCCATATGGTTCCCCGAGCACTGCCTGGAGTAATTCCTGAGTGCAAAGCCAGGAGTAACTCCTATGCATCGCTGGGTGTGACCCAAAAAGCAAATAATAATAATAATAAATAATAATAATAATAAACTGCATAACTCTAGAGGCACAATGGGTAGGGTGTTTGCCTTAATCACTTAATCACTAACTTCCCATTAGTCGTCGATTTGCTCAAGCGGGCACCAGTAACGTCGCCATTTGTCCCTGTCGCGTGCTAGTGTAGCCCAATGGCATCTGTTCGCTCCGGGAACATGAAGGGCCTCAAACCGATCGTTCATGATCTTGACGAAGAAGTCTGACCATCTGGAAGGTGGGCGGCCACGCGGTCTTTTGACATCCCGTGGAATCCAGTCGGTAACAGCTCTAGTCCAGCGGTCGTCTTTAAATCTCATTACATGACCAGCCCATCTGATTTTCGACACCTTGGCAAATGAGACAGCGTCCCTGATTCTTGATCGTCAACGGATGTCAGAACTCCGGATTCTTTCTCTCATTTGAGTGAAACGTGATATTCCAAGCATAGCTCTTTCTATTCTTCTTTGGGAGACCATGTAAGGTGTTTGCCTTACATGCGGCAAACCCAAGTTCAATCCCTGGCATTCCATATGGTCGTCCAAGCACCATAAGGAATGATTCCTGAGTGCACAGACAGGAGTAACCCCTGCACATCACTGGGTATGGCCCCAAAACCAAAATAAATAAACTATGTAACTCTAAATTTAACATGGAAATATTAACATAGATTCAAACTCTATTGTTTGAAAGTACTTGTATTTCCCTGCATGAAAGGGCCTAGAGGAAATAAGTAGCAAGGAGTTACCTAGGCTATTGCCCAAATAGTGGACTCAGAATACCATTTCTCACCAAAAAACAGTGCTCTATTGTATCCAGCTTCCTAACTATGTCTCCACTGCACAGGAGTTGAGAAAAATCTGGCAACAGTAAAAGGTTTCAGAAAGCACAATGATCAAAAATCAGTTCAAAATCAGTCACCTAATAAATATGAAGTATTTCTGGAGAAGCGCTCATCCATGTTGCACTTCTCAAGTTAAAAGGAGTTATTAGTTATTAGTTTTCTTAAGAAAGCTTGCTTTAGAGAAATTGCTGATTTCAGTTTTTGAATAAGAAGTAAAAAGAATTTGGACACTTGTCAAAACAAAGTAAGAGGAACTAGAGATTTAGTACAGCAAGCAAGGAGTGTGTCTTATAGGCTGTCAAACTGGGTTTGACATTCATCACCATATATAGTCCACTGAGCACATTTACGAGTGATTACAGAGCCAGTAGTAAGCCCTGAGCACAGCTGGGTGTGGGTCAAAAAACAAACAAACAAAAAAGTAGGGAAATTATAAGTTGTCTAATTAAAAATATTAAAATAAAACTAAGAAAAAATTACTGGGATTGTACCAAAGGATACAGTGGCACACTCTGAGGCTCCTGCTAGCCTCATATAAACAATTTTAGCCTCAAAACAAACAAATGCAATGGACTGAAACATATCTGTTGTGTTTTTAAATTCTGAATTCATAATTAGGGATCACTCTTAAAAATGAGTATTTACACCTCCTCCAGATGGAACCCCCGGTGACCATGAGCCTCTACAAGCATAGCTCGAGTATGTGGGAACCAGGACTTGGACTTTTACTCCAAACAGCAGGGACTGCCCCAGCTCCCAGGTAACCTCTGACTCCGGAAGTCATGCCCACAACCCGCCCCCCAGCGCCATCTTTACAGCACACAGCTGCAGAGAAGAAAGGCCGCTGGGCGGCTCCACAGCTCCCGGAAAATGCACCGGGTCCCAAAAAGAGCTGAGATCACCGGGAAGTCCCAGATGGGGTAGGTGCCACATCCCGCCTCCTCCAGATGGAACCCCAGTGACCATGAGCCTCTACAAGCATAGCTCGAGTATGTGGGAACCAGGACTTTTACTCCAAACTGCGCAGCCGCTTATGTGGCCGCGCAACATCCCTATATACAAAGTGTTCAATGGAAAGTAAATCATCCAACGTTTCTCCCTGAAAATCAGGCTTAACGCTTATACAAACCACAACACCCAATAGGAGATAGAGAACAAAAGGGAATGCCCTGCCACAGAGACCGGGTGGGATGGGGGGTGTGGGGTGTGGGAGGGATACTGGGATCTGTGGTGGTGGGAAATGGTCACTGGTGGAGGGATGGGTATTCAAAATAAATTAATTAATAAAAAAATGAGTATTTAGTCACTTTTGGCAGATGCTAGGGAAATGATTCATCATTCTCAAACTGGCTTAGGAAAGGGAGGATACAGGAAGAATTTAAATGTATTCTGCCTTTCCTGAATGAATTCTGTGTGTGGGTTACCACATAAATGAGGGAAACATTTTCTTCATAGAACTATTGTAATTAATACACATAATAAGGAGTGGCAATTTTAGGGTCAGAGAGATAGGCAAGGGGTTAAGGCATCTGCCTTAAATGCAGCCAACCCCAGTTCAATCTCAGCACCACATTTGTCCCCCCAAGCACTGCCAGGAATGACCCACTGAGTGCCAAGAAGTAGCCTCATACTACAGGGTATGACACCAACCCCCCACCACCAAAAAGGAGTGGCATCTTGAATTATCATTTATAACCAGTTTATCATTTATAACTATAATTTAGTTATAATCAGTATATAATTCAAATAAAATAATCTACACAGAGATCATCAATTCCTGCTAAAAGTCCTTCTGTGAAAAGTGGATTGGGCACTTTACAATAAATACAGGGCTAAGCGAGAAGTGTACTGGAACTGCTTGTTAAACTGTGAAAGATTTTGCAGGCTGGCTGAGACTTGGTATTAGAGCTTAAACCTAGTAATGGTACGCCCGCTCCTCTCTGGAAAGAAAGATGGCGGCCGCACGGGAGCCTTGTGGACAGCGGGTTTGAGCCAGGGTTGGCGGGAGCGGCAGGGACCTCATGGGAAGGGGGGCTTTGTGGGCCGTCCCCCACGCCCCACCGAGGTCGCCAGCTGCCCCCCACGAGCGGCTCTCCGGCACGGCCACGGCCCCGGAGGCACAAGGACTTAGCACAGAGAACCAGCAGCTTGGAGCAGAAAAGCAAATGGACTATGTGTTAAACAGCGCCACCAAGCCTGCCCGGAGGGGAAAGGGTGTTGACCGGCCCGCCCGCTCCTCTCTGGAAAGAAAGATGGCGGCCGCACGGGAGCCTTGTGGACAGCGGGTTTGAGCCGGGCTCGGCAGGAGCGGCGGGGACCTCATGGGAAGGGGGGCTTTGTGGGCCGTCCCCCACGCCCCACCGAGGTCGCCAGCTGCCCCCCACGAGCGGCTCTCCGGCACGGCCACGACTCCAGGGCACAGAAACCAATCTCTTAACTATCTAACTTTTAATAGAAATTCTTCCAGGGTCAATAAGTAAAATAGCAGAAATTCAAAACCGCGTGGCCGCAACAGCGGCCGCGCGACATCATTTTATTCTTAAACCAAGTTGTAGAAAGCAAATCATTTCACAACGCTATTTCAGCATGTCTGATTGTGGGGGGTGGGTCGTAAACTCTAAACAATAATTGTGCATCTTCTATCGAAACAATCTATCTAGTCAAAGTAGATAGAGTATTAACTAGAACTCATCTGCCTCACAAGAATTGGGAGGGGTGGGAGGTGGGGGTCTATTGGGGTTCGGGGTTAAAAATAAGTATTGGTAAAGGGAAATGTGTTTGATATTTACATGACTGAGACCTAAACCCGAAAGCTCTGTAACTTTTCCCACAGTGATTCAATAAATAAATAAATTATTAAAAAAAAAAAAACCTAGTAATGGTAGAATAAGTTATGCCATGATAACTGTTATAAAACAGGGGAATACTCTAAATCAGGGTGACCCCCAACTTCAAAACTGCTCCAAGTTAATTATCAAATATTTTACCAGGATCCCAACATTTGGCGATCTTTTTAAGTTTCAGGCAGAAAATAAATTAGTGGTTGCCTGACAGGATCACAAGAAAATTCTGATGTTTCGGTAGTAGTAAACACTTAAGGCAGTATATATGTATAAAAACTCACCAAATTGTACTCTTTAAAATGTAGATTCTGTTTGTTTGTTTTGTTTTGGGGTGCACTGGCAGTGCTCAGGGCTTACTCCTGTCTCTGTGCTCAGGGATCATTCTGGATAGGTTCGGGACACTATACGGAGTGCTGGGGATCAAATCTGCTTGCAAGGCAAGGCCCTACCTGTACTCTCACTCCAGCCCTATATGTAGATTTTTATTTTTATTTATTTTTTTGCTTTTTTGGGTCACACCCAGCAATGCACAGGGGTCACTCCTGACTTTGCACTCAAGAATTACTCCTGGCAGTGCTCAGGGGGACCATATGGGATTCTGGAACTTGAACCTGGGTTGGCCACGTGCAAGGCAACCACCCTACCCACTGAACTATTGCTCCTGCCCCATGTAGATTTTTATATTATACTTCAATACTTCCTTTTTTCCTTTTTGGGACACACCTGGCAAAGCACGGGTTACTCCTGGCTTTGCACTCAGGAGTTACTCCTGGTGGTGCTTGGGGCACAATATGGGATGCTGGGAATCAAACCCGGGTCAGCCGTGTGCAAGGCAAACATCCTACCCACTGTGCTATCTCTCCAGCCCCATCAAGAGTACCATTTTTATATTAAATTAAATGTCAAACATAAAAATCATATGATTTCACATATTTACTAAGGATTAAATAGTCAGAAATGCTAAGTGTGATTTATTTCTTCATAAAACTACAGAAACTGGGACTTGAAATTAATCTAAAAACTAGGGAATTCCCCATACCCAGGAGAACAGGTTTCCAGTGGTTGCTTTTACTTTTTATCCATGACTGTAAAGATAGGGAACAGTGTATTCTAGGTACACTTGTACTTTAAAGTCTTTTCAAAATGATCCAACTTCTAATATGAAAGATATGAGTTCCCAACCATTCCATCTTCCCCATTTTCCATGAATTCCTTCTTCCTCCTCAGTGAAACACTTCTAAAATAGGTGGAACATCAAATTCCCATCTATGAACTAGGATAAAACTACCTACCAATGTTTGATTATTATATGGATTAAGTGAGAATTTCAAATTGTCTAGTCTCTCCTGAGAAGGAAGCCAGCAAATAGCTTCCTCATGCCTAAATCCTTTGTGACAAAAAAATGATTTGGAGCATGTGAGGTTGGAACGATGTACGTATGGAACCTTATCATTAACAGCATTGAAAACCATGGTGACAAACTAAAATGAACTATTACAGATGTAACAGTTAAAAACTATCATCAAATTGTAAAGTGGTAGAAAATGGCAGATTCTTCTGTAGAAACTTTTTTCTGAGCACATTCTATCCCTGTAAAAGTTCCATGTTAATGAACTGATGATGAGGATATGGTCACTTTCTTCTCTGGCAGGTGCTAGTGCATTAAATGTCTTCAAGTTGAATCAAAATAAGAAGAAGAAAACTATTGCTGTATATGCTTATCAATGCATATTTCCCAAACAAAAAATCTTTGCTGTCTTGAAAATTCTAATCTAGAACTTTCAAAATAATAAACAATTTTTCTTATACTTGGGCTGGAGCGATAGCACAGCGGGTAGGGCGTTTGCCTTACAAGCGGCCAACATGGCCGACCCGAGTTCGATTCCTCCGCCCCTCTCGGAGAGCCCGGCAAGCTACCGAGAGTATTCGATATGCCAGACACAGTAACAACAAAGTCTCCAATGGAGACGTTACTGGGCCCGCTCGAGCAAATCGACGATCAACGGGAGGGCCTTTACTTTACTTTACTTTACTTTTCTTATACTTGAAGACAATCACCACAGGCATGGATGCATAAACACATGCTTTTGAACTCTACATATTCTACTGTCTTTGGGTATAGCAGGACATTTGCTTCTATTACTAAAAGACTGGCTAAATCTGAAAGGAAACATAATAATGGATCTCTGGGATTAATGGAGTGGGCCTGCTGGTCAGCAGTCACATGTTTATCTTCCTCTCTGCCTAGCTTTTAGTCTGCAAGTAGAATTACTCCCAAGTGCCTCTTTTCAGAATATAGTCAATTCAGTACATTCAATTTTTTAATTAATTTTGCTTCACTTTAACCAAATTACTAAAAAATAAAGCAAACAGATTTCAATGGGGTTGCAGTCTAATAATTTATATGTCAAATTCACTGTCTTACCTGGACAATTACTTCTATGTTGTGAGAGCTATGACTGTAGTTTTCTGGATTCCATTTCAGTATGAAAATAGGACCAGACAAATGAATTGCTTGCCCTAAAAGAACTCCATCAATCTTAACTATGACAGAAGCAATAGAGGATAAGGAAAACGCCAAAATTCTAAAATGAGAGAAAGTATAAGTACATGGTTTTAGAATTTTTTATTGTTTTTTTGAAAGAGAACCACCCCATTCTGAAAAGACATAAGTACAGACACAACTATCTCACTGTAAACTGTTCATCTGACCACTATTCATACAATCTTATTTCTTGCTGAATGGTGGCTTTTGGAGTTGTATAATTCAACAAACCTATGATAAATTAGAACTTATTTTACTTACTAGAAAGAAAAATCAATTGTCCTTTTTTTAACTTCTTTTGTTTGCAGAGGTGGGGAAAGAGGGAGTAATGGGGATTGTATTATGGGTCTACTCCATGCCCTGTGCTCAGGGGTTACTCCTGACAGTGGCTTCCCAGGGTCAGCAACTTACAAGGCAAGCGCCTTAACCCCTATCTCTCCAGCCCTATCTTTTGACAAATTAAGCTGGAGTTCATCAAAGTTCTTTCTAGAGAAACTGCTAGTTATTCTCACAGGAGAATATGGGTCAGACATCTCACTTTGTTAATGAATATCAAGCCTACCACCTTTCCTGGAAGTCGCAAACAGAGCTAAGGCAACCCTCTCTTTCAGACATTAACATTTAAATCTGATATATAGCTCCAATTTAAAAAATAAAAATTTAAAAAATAAAAATGAAAACTAATATATATGTTCCACTTCACTGGTGAAATAAAGTAACCTAGAATAATTGGTAAATCTAAATGAGCACAATTTCTAGGCCACAGAACTAGTACAGAAGTTAAGGACCATGTTTTGCATAAGGTTGATCCTGTTTCAATCCCTGGTACCACATGGCCCACACAGCATCACTAGGTGCAGCCCTTGAGGCCCCTAAGTATCTCTAGGGTTCTCACCACTGCAGGCCTGCAGCAGCACTACATCCTCACCTCGCACTAAACCACCAGCTGAGTTGGCAGAAAATACTGGGAGGGGCCCCATGCCTTCTGAAGAACACTTGGGAAGCAACATACCTCACGCCGGAAGTATAGTACCAGTAATGATGAGAGTGCTGTAAAATTAGCACTTACATTGTTTGATAATATTATATAGCAGTATCTGTTTTAAAAGTAATTGGGTACCTTGTGTACTGCTGCTGGGAATGTAAAAATAGTGCAGCCACTATGAAAAAGTTGGTGGCACATAAAAAAAAATTGAACATTTCTAGGTATATTCTCAAATGAATGGAAAGCAGGGATTCAAGCAGATATCTTGATATGTTCAAGACATTGTTCAGAGTAGTTAAGGTGGAAGCAAAGTATCTACTGATGGATGAATGGATGAACAGAATGTGTTATATAATTTGAGGGAATATTATTTACTCTTAAAAATGAAGAAAACTGAGCTGGAGAGATAGTACAGGGGCTAAGGTGATTATCTTACACACATTCAACCCTGGTTTGATTCCCAGCATCATATAAGATTCCCTGAAGACTGCCAAGAATAATGAGCACTGAGTGCAGAGTCAGGAGTAAGTCCTGAGCACCATGAGCTGTGAATCCAAAACCAATAACAACAACAACAATAAATAATAATAATTTTCAACTGAATGAGAATGAAACAGTAAGCAATTTATCTTTATACAATGTTTATATTGTTTAGAAAACTAAAGTGGGGCATCTCATAGCTTTCCATGGGAACATAGTCACTTGCCCTCCATCAATACCAAACTAAAGTTTCATTGTGGAAAAGTGATACATACCTGATATGTGTTGAATGAAGAAGTCTCTCTAATGGTTCATGTTTAGCACAACTATAGAGGAGGGACTTAGGATTGGTGATAAGAACCACAGGCCATTCACCAAAGGTCAAATCTGCAAAGCTAAAGAGGTCATGATCAAAAGCAAAGATCCGGTACCTAGAAATCAGAGAACAATACAGCACTTTAGTGACTTCAAACCATGAGAGCAGGAAGATTGTCAACAGAACAAGTATAAAAATACATAACTAGATGTTTGAGGTCATGAGTCTGAATGAAGAGTAGATAATATTATTTTTGTCTTCCTTTGACCCTATCAACTTTGCATTTGTCACAATTGGGACCTAATTGAAACAACTGACTGTGCTCTAAAACAATGCCTGGTAAGTAGCATGCACTCTTTAATTTTTAAATAAATGCCTATTGAGTTATTTAACTTGATTTTATTCTGTAAAACTCTTTTAAAACTAAAACATGATTCACCATAAGCCTAACATTTTTCATCTCATTAACAATTTACAGAACATTAAAATTAACACAATTAGAAACCTTTCATTTTTCTTTTATTCATAATTAATTAAAAAAATTTTCAGTCACTTCTGACACTGCTCCAGGGTCCATGTAGTATAGAGGATTGAACCTGGGCTTCCGGCATGACTGTATGCAAAGCATGCATTCAGCCTGTTGAGCTCGGGCCGGAGCGATAACACAGCGGGTAGGGTGTTGGCCTAGCACACAGCCGACCCGGGTGCAATCCCTGCTATCCCATATGGTCCCCCAAGCACTGCCAGGAGTAATTCCTGAGTGCAAAGCCAGGAGTAACCCCTGAGCATTGCTGGGTGTGACCCAAAAAGCAAAAAAAAAAAAAAAAAAAAAAAAAACCAGCCTGTTGAGCTCTCTCTCCAGTCCTCATTGTTCTTCTAAAGCTTTATTCATATAATTTGAAGGAACTACAGTTGTTTTGATTTTCTATATGCACTAAAGAGCAACCAAATTTTTGTTTCTCCCAACTTTTGGAACCAATGATTAACTATGGGAGATGAACAATGCTCCCACACATTTCCCAATCTCCTGTAGTAGGTCAGGACCATGTGACTTGTTCTGGCCAGTGGGCTGTGAACAGAAGTGACATGCATCACACTTCTGATCCAAAGTACTTGAGAATGGATATGAGTTTTCATTGTTCTGTTCCCTGCTCTGAAATTGAGAAGTAGAAATAGTGGTATTATAATATGGAGGAAGTCTGAATCCCCAAGTCACCCAATGAAAGAGAGTGCCTCTACATCATACATATTGGTTTTACAAAAATAAAAAACCTAAATATTTGCTGCCAGGTTGTTTCTTTTTTGGCCACAACGGGTGGTGGGGAGAAGGGGGGACACGGGATGGGGGGCACACCTGAGGATGCTCAGGGTTTACTCCTAGCTCTACACTCAGGAATGACTCCTAGCAGTGCTTAGGGGACCATATGTAGTAGTGGGGATCCAACCCAGGTTGGTCACTTGCAAAGCAAGCACCTTACCCACTGTACTATTTATCCAGCCCCAACCATCTATTATCTTAAGTCTAATTTCTAGATTTATTTGCTTTAGCAACAAAGGCTAATTTTTATTTTAAATAAGATCCTCCATAATTATTGTGCACACCAAGATTTGAGAACGACTTTCTAACTAGATGCATCTTGAAACTCTTACAAAGCACAATGAAAATCAAAGTGTTCCAACAAGATTTCCGTATAAGACAAATACTGCTAAGCATACATGTTACTTCCAAGATACAAAGACAGGGCTAGGAAGATGGCTCAAAGGGGTGGAGTGCATGCCTTTCGTGTGCAGGGGTCTCAGTCTGATTCCTAATAGTGCATGAGCCCTGAGAAACCCTAGCATCCCTGGCTTGACCCATACCATAGGCACAATTGGAGAGACCCCTTATAAAAAGAGAAATGTAAATATATTTCACATGTTTTCCCTCCACTGGGATCACTCCTGATAGCAATAAGAAAACGATCATTGCTTCAGCGAAACTATCAGCTTTACTTTTCAAGGGTTAGTTTCCTCACCTTCTATTATTCTTCCAGTCTCCCAACTCCAGTTCCATGGTACCCTGGATGTGACGCGTGTGCAAAACAGGCATAAATCCACCAAGCGTATGAAGGTGCCCACAAAAATAAGCTGTCGCTGAACTAAATAATAAGGGGGAGGGGGGCGGGGGGATAAAAAACATATATATGATGAAAAACACTTTGAAATCTCTCTTCAGAGAGAGATAGTCACACATGTGTGAGGCCCTGGTACCACAAAACAGAAAATCATAAATTTAAATATCTCATCAGAAAATCAAGATGGGTAGTGCAACATAAAAGAATTTAAAACAATTAATTTGGGGGCCTATTTGGGGGTAAGTTGAAAGTCTTACAGCTGGTAAGTCTGCTTCCCTTGCAAGCAAGCAGCCAGCCCGAGTTCAATCCCCAACACCCTAGAGGCACAGAGCCAGGAGTAAGCCCTGAGCAGGGCTGGATATGGCCCAAAAAGAAATTCAAAATAAATAAAAACAATTTTTTATTCTAGAAGGCTGACTTACCTCATAATTGATCGAATTCCTGGTGATGGAGAAAGGATGGTTGATGTCGTATAGTGTCCAAACCAAATACTGTGGTTACTCTGAGTACTTTCCTTGGCCAGTAATGAAAGTTCCCTCATCTTTTCCTGCAATGAAGAAAAAGTAAAAGGATTTTAATGAGGGCTCAGGCTTGTATCTAATGTCAACAAATGAAACAACCCCTTTCAAGTTTCATAACAATTAGCATACTAATTTGAAGGCTTAAAACCTACTATTTAATGATCTATAGACTTCAAATTGTTTTAAAATGTTTAAGTTTCAAATTTGCGATCTGTTCTTTGGACAGCCATTGATGTCTTCTATCTTTTCATTTGCCATAACTTGGATGTTTCATTTGCCACATGATTCATTTGCCACAACTTGGTGAGTGGTCCATGGGGGGGAGGATTTGTATTCTGTCCTGTCTCTGAACGGTACCAGCCCTCATGAAAACAGTCACACCAGAAGTTTTGCTCTGGAGGGTTATCTTAATAAGCTCAATAGCCTTTTCCAAATAGCCTTGGTTTGCTGCTTTGACATTTGTGTTGGCATTTCTTAAAGCATGGCTGTGATTTTAACATAGATGGCAAGGCAGAAAAAAAAAAAAGAAAGAAATTGGGTTCTTACTCCTGGAAACAAATTATGCAGAACTGGCGTAAACATGGACTTGTTTAGAACTTGGACTGTTAGTAGTCCCACATAGTCGTCTGGCTTCCTCACAGACTTAAGACCATTTCTGTTTGTGCTTGGGGCCAAGGCAAGGAGGAGGGAACCGTATCTTACTGTTCAGAAATGGGGACATGTGGTCTGTGACTGCCTCTCAAGTTTCGTTGGTATGAGATCAGAATTTTGACAGGAAGTGTGAAATGTGCATCCTACCCGGACCATGACTAGTATAACCTTGATAAGTCATTTTCTCTCCATGTGATGTGCATCTATGAGAGCTGCTAAAAAAAAAATTCAGTCTGTTCTCAAATGTCCTTCCTATAATCTTTGAGTTAAAATTTGTATCACTTTTGATTTAGAAAACATTGGAATGTGATGCTCTGAGTGCTTAGCTGCTTTGCTTTCTTTCTCTCAGTCTTTAGAGAGGCTTGGGGTGGACAGAATATAGGTCAATGATAGAGCATAGATTTCTGCATATGAGACTTGGCACCCCATCCCGCCCAAATACAAAATGCTTTCAAATGTGCAATGCTTTTACAAAAATGTTTCCTATTTAGCCTGTTAAGATGACACAAATAGTTGTGTAAAATATGAAGGTGTCAACTTTTTGCTGGATATTAATTTGTTTCTAGAAAGCTAAAAAAATGGCTTTTTTTTTAAACATCATGCCATACAACCTTCGAGTGAGTACAATTTGAGAGCTTCACTTTGGGGTATTGTTACCCAAATGAGTTAGACTTGTGGTTAACTATTTTTCATGCACAAACATTTTTATTCGTGTGTATGTGTGTGTGTAAGAGTTTTTTTTTTTTCACTTTACATTCTGAAATTGCTCCTTTTTCTGTTGTGCCACTGGAGATTTTGTTTCTGGTTTGATCAGAGAAACTATTCCTGACATAGGAAAGTCCCCAGGCAGACAGCTCATGGCTGCTCTGACTTTAGGAAAAGCTCAACTGCTATTTTTTGCTGGGGTCACTGCAGCTGTCTAGTGTATTAATAATTGAGAAAACTTGGAAGATAGGAGACTTAATATTAGTAAAAACATTTTAGACATGGCTATCAGAACTTCAAATGAAAGTGCTGCGGTTATTTCCCCTGGTAGAAATATCAACTCATTTACCCCAGCTCACTATAATGCATCCATAGAACGGACATTTGAAGATGTGTGTGTTTTCAACTTCTGTTGAAGGTGATATTTGTTGTTAAAATCTAGATTCCAGTTTATGATCATATTATTGCGGATTCTTCTGTGCAGATTTTGCTCTGTATGCAAATACATTATTTAGGGCTGGAGCGATAGCACAGCGGGCAGGGCGTTTGCCTTGCATGCGGCTGACCTGGCCGACATGAGTTCGATTCCTCCACCCCTCTCGGAGAGCCCGGCAAGTTACCGAGAGTATCTCACCTGCACGGCAAGGCCTGGCAAGCTACCCGTGACGTATTCGATATGCCAAACACAGTAACAACAAAGTCTCACAATGGAGACGATACTGGACCTACTCGAGCAAATCGATGAACAACGGGAGGACAGTGCTACAGTACTACAGAAGTTTCAAATAACTCATTTGATCCAAAAAATAATTCTGTGCTAAGTAAGTAGGTAAAATCCCTACTTGATAGATAAGGAAATTGAAAAATAAAAAATAATCTCTAGAGGTCCAGGATATAGCTCAGTGGTAGAGCCTTGCATGTGGGAAGTCCTGGGTTCCATTCCCAACACAAAAGAAAAAACAAAAACAGAATAATCTTTATGTACATTTCTTTAATTTATAAACTGTTACATCTTTATAAAAAATAAAGAACATCTAAGCCTCTTGATCATGTATTACAGATTGCAAAATAAGATATTAACATTGTCCACACGAAGCCTCGTCTCTGAATATTCTTGACACTTTTTCTCATAATAGCCAAAAAGGTAAAAACCACTAGCAAAATGCTGTGTAGCCATGCCATGGAATATTACTCAGCAATAGGCAGGAAAGAACCACTAATCTTCAATAGTTCTATGAGAAAAACGTTGTGAATAACATGGATAAATATCAGAAACATTATATTCAGAAAAAGGACATAAGTACAAGTTTGATGATTTATATGAAATTTTAATACAAAAAAATATACACTGGTAGAAAATCAATCAGTAATACCCTGGGACTGAGAAGTAAAGACTGTTCAGGAGAACTGTCTAGGATGATAAATAAAACGTTTTGTCTTAATTGCAGTGACAGTTAACACCAATATACACATTTATCAAAAGTCTTTTGACACATTGGCACTGGTACTGTAGTTTGTGTTTGGGGGACATGCAAGTGTGAGGCAAGTGTGAGTCACCATGGTCTATGCCACTGACATGTAAAATACTTACTAAAATTGGTGCAAGTTCCCCAAGCACCGCCAGGAGTAATTCCTGAGTGCAGAGCCTAGAGGAACCCCTGAGCATAACTGGTGGTGATCCAAAAAGAAAAAAAGTTGGTGCGAATTATTTTATGTAAGTTATTCACATAAAGCTGACTTCAAAAGTAATCTGTGCAGGGGCTGGAGCAATAGCACAGCAGGTAGGGTGTTTGCCTTGCACACGGCCAACCCGGGTTCGATTCCCAGCATCCCATATGGTCCCCTGAGCACCGCCAGGGGTAATTCCTGAGTGCAGAGCCAGGAGGAATCCCTGTGCATTGCCGAATGTGACCCAAAAAGCAAAAGAAAAAAATTATGCATACATAGATGTGAATTAATATTTTCTATAAATTGTTTATAGCAAGAAATTTTTAGGCCCTAACTGCAAAGTCTCAGGTGAAGTTTGGGTACCTGAATTTTTTGTTTTTAGTCCACACCTGGTAATGCTTAGGGCTTACTTTTGGCTCTCCACTCAGGGATTACTCCTGGTAGAGTTTGGGGGGTCTAAAAACCCCTGGTTGTGTCAGAGACTGAACCTGGGTCAGGCGCATTCAAGTTAAGCATCCTACCTACTATCTCTGTACTATCTCTCCAGTCTCTGGCTATCTGTATTTTTTGGGGGTTCAGGTGATTTTCACATAGATGATTCTTGAATCAAAGCTTAAAAAACACTATTCTTGAGGGCTGGAGAGATAATACAGTGGGTTAGTCATTTGCTTTGCATGTGATCGACCTGAGTTTAGTCCCCAACATTCCATATGGTCCCCTGATCACTACCAGGAGTGATTCCTGAGTGCAGACCTAGAATTAACCTCTGAGCACTGCTAAGTGTGGCCCTAACACTCATCCCCCCGCCAAAAAAGAACCCACCCTATTCTATGAATTAACTATTAACAAATTAATCAATTCTCTCTATAGACACTTGAAATACAGAAAACATATAAACTTTCATTAAATGAAATGCTTGTTATAATACATTGCATTTAACAATATTCTGTTTACTGATTTCTTAACTCTAGTAGCACTTTATTGTTGTTGTTAGTTGTTTCATACCCTATGGTGCCAGGAACCACCAAAGTCATAAATGGTGTTGCTGGAGATTGAGCCCAGGGTATCACTTTGAATCACATTCCCAACCTCCTCATAGCACTCTTTTTCTGCCCAACCCATCAGCCATTGCTCACAAGGTTAATCTAGCAAAGAATTTCACCTATTTTATTAAAAAATACTTAATATATATATATATATATACAGTTACAAATAGCAAATGTAAAATTTTATGAATTACCAGAATATACCAAGCTGTACACCCTATACTTTAAGTGCATACTGAACTTAGTAACATATATTTACTTTAATTTTTATTGTAAATAATAAATATGTAATGTTTACTGGAGCAATCAGGGCAGGAGCGATAGCACAGTGGCAGGGCGTTTGCCTTGCGTGCAGCCGGCCCGGCCGAGCCGGGTTCGACTCCTCCACCCCTCTCAGAGAGCCTGGCAAGAGTATCTCACCCGCACGGCAAAGCCTGGCAAGCTACCCATGATGTATTCAATATGCCGAACACAGTAACAACAAGTCTCACAGTGGAGACGTTACTGGGCCCACTTGAGCAAATCGATGAACAACAGGACGACAGTGCAGTGCAGTGCTACTGGAGAAATAGCCCAGCAGGTAGGGCATTTGACTTGCATTTGGCCAACCTGGGTTCGATTCCTCCCCCCTTCTCGGAGAGCCCAGCAAGCTACCAAGAGTATCCTGCCCACTCAGGAGAGCCTGGCAAGCTACCGGTGGTGTATTCAATATGCCAAAAACAGTAACAACAAATCTCACAATGAAGATGTTACTGGTGCCCGCTCAAGCAAATTGATGAACAACAGGACGACAGTGCTACAGTGCTACTGAATAAATATAAAATATAAGATACTCTTTTCCCAAATTTGGGGACGAAACCAGGATAGTAATAGTTGCATTGACCTATAAAAAATACTAGTAGTATTCTTTTAGCATACCTGTTTGCGCAATATGATTCTTCTCAAATAGTCTAAATAAGAACTAGTTTATGTAAGATAATTTTAACTGATCCCCATGTATCCAAGAAAAAAGTAAAATAGGTTAGCTAAGAGATCGGGCGCGTTCAGGGTGGTATGGCCGTAGACAGCACAGTGGGTAGGGCGTTCGCCTTACAAGCGGCCAACATGGCCGACCCGAGTTCGATTCCTCCGCCCCTCTCGGAGAGCCCGGCAAGCTACCGAGAGTATTCGATATGCCAGACACAGTAACAACAAAGTCTCCAATGGAGACGTTACTGGGCCCGCTCGAGCAAATCGACGATCAACGGGAGGGCCTTTACCTTTACCTTTAGGTTAGCTACAAAAGGAAGTAACATTTATACTATACCTCATCTACGATTCCAAAGAAATTATAGGGTCTCTTAGGCCCTGGGTTTGGGGTGGCATCCAAAGAGATGAAAGAATAATTTCCAAAGGAAGTTCTATAGACATAATGAAAAGAACCATCCCTCCGTAAAGCAGAATATTTCCTAAAAAACACAAGACAAAGTTTCAGTGTAATCATATAAGGAAAATGAATTTAAATTGCTTCTCTAATATCACATTTATTCTGCTTCATTATGAAACAGAAATTTCCCAAACAGGCAGAGAAATACACTAGATGCATATGGAAAAATGGGTTGAAAGAAATTTTAAAGATTTTTCTCCCATTGCCTGAAATTGCTCAAGACTCAGACAAATCAATCAGTAATCAAATACAAGGTCACCAAGTAAAGCAGAAAAGTTAGTGGTCCACTAACAATTAAAAATAAATTCATCAGGGGCTGGAGCGATAGCACAGCGGGTAGGGCGTTTGCCTTGCACACAGCCGATCCGGGTTCGATTCCCAGCATCCCATATGGTCCCCTGAGCACCACCAGGAGTAATCCCTGAGTGCAGAGCCAGGAGTAACCCCTGTGCATTGCCGGGTGTGACCCAAAAAGCAAAATAAATAAATAAATTTCTATTTCAGGGCTGGAGCACAGAGTGTAGGGTGTTTGCCTTGCACATGGTCGACCCAGGTTCAATTCTCAACATCCCATATTGTCCTCTGACCACGCCAAGAATAATTCCTGAGGGAGTGGAGCGATAGTACAGTGGAGAGGGCGTTTGCCTTTCATGCAGCCACCCGGGTTCAATCCCTGGCATCCCATATGGTTCCCTAAGCACCGCCAGGAGTAATTCTTGAGTGCAGAGCCAGGACTAACCCCTGAACATCGCTGGGTGTGACCCAAAAAGCAAAAAAAAAAGAAACAACAAAAAAAGAGTAATTCCTGAGTGCATGAGCCAGGAGTAACCCAAAGAGAAAAAAAAGTCTATTTCAAACGTTTTTCCTTTAAAAACTTTTTCTTAATTTTTTTTAAATTTCCTACTTAAAAATCTTAATTTCTTTTGTTTTTTCATTAATTCCATATCAGCATTAGGTTTCAGGGTTTTATTATCTCATATAGTTGTTTTCTTTGCCACTTTTTTCACACATTAAAATTTAACTATGTACAAATAAATCCAACTAGTTGAAAGCAGAAATTAAATACAGGATAACATTTCCACACCGGGCAGTACTCTGGGATCATGGTCACACCCAGCTAGGCTGGGACCAAGTGTTCAAGGCTGACCAAAGCCACATTAGATGATACCAAGGCCCTCAGGGTCACGTATAGTGGAATTTGGGGACCATGTGGTAACAGGGATCAATCTCAGGGCCTCACACATGAAAGGCATGTGCTTGGGGCCAGAAAGATAGCACCTACCTTACATGCAGCCAACCTAAGTTCATTTCCTGGCACTTCATGGTCCCCCAGGCCATGCCAGGAGTGATCTCTGAGCACAAAGCAAGGCATAAGCCTTGAACACTGTTGGGTTTGCCCCTGTACCACCACCCCCCGCACACACCAAAAAAATGAAAAGCATGTGCTTTACTACTTGAGTCATATGCCTGGTCAATAATAATTTTTGAATCCTGAACATTCTCTGGGCTATTCTTAACATTATTTAATATTTTATTCTTTCACTGTCAGGGAGATAGCTCAAAGGGTCAAGAGAGATGCCTGACCCTCTCCCTGTTCTTTGGGGTTTGTCGTTTGTTTGGGGGCCACACCTTGCAGTGCTTGGGGGACCATGCCATTTTGGGGAACAAACCCAGGGCACCTTCATGCAAAACAAGCACTCCATGCTGATGAGCTATCTTCCTGATGCCAGATTTTCTTTACACAGAAATTCTGTTGTTAAAATTTTTCTCATTAATTGAATTGTTTGTGTCCTTCTAGCAGTAACACAGATTCTATTCATGATCTATTTTCTTACAGTACCTGTAATAATTCTCAACACTGTCCAGACTTGGAATGTTGAATGTATCTAATTAAAAAGAAAAGATCAAATATCATTTATATTAAAAAGAAAAATGCAAAATGTTAATGGATGAAGAAAAATAACAATACTTTCAGTAATATTTTAAGTGGTAAAATGCCAACTAATTAGACTATTTTTAAAACTGGGTAACAATGTAATTCAGAATAACTAAAAACTTATCTAAAGTACCAAGTAAACTAGAGAATAATATGTAATTTTAATTGTACAATTCAGAATAAGCCAATTTGAAGTGATCAATCTAGTACCTATTGGTTTTCGGAATCACAGAATTCAACCTAGAACTGTAGCCGCAGTTCGATCTCATAACTTCAAAACAGTTTGCTCTGAATAAACCACTTAAAGTACTATCAAAGATCTATGTCAAATGCTACTAAAGAGCAAATCACTTGGATAACAGAATCAAAGTCCTTTCTTCTTAAATATTAAAAAAAAAAGATTCAACAAGGAAGGAGTTATAGAGTGTTAAGGGATAAGGTGAAGGGCATAACAGAATGTTATCTAGAAATTTAATACTTTCATTTGTAATTCTCTTGCTAAGAAAATAATTCTATATAGCTATCTTAATAAAGATACTCCTCTATCCTTACACCATATGTACATACACATGTAACCACACCACAATACCTATACCAGTCAAATTAGATTATTATAAACTCCAAAGAACTCTCCAAATTATTTAAGCACAAGAGTTTGATATTTATTACTTGAAATAGCTCAGTAGTTTTACTTGGAAAAATTCAAAAATACATACACAGATTTATTATTTGTTGCAAAGGAAACTGACCTATACCTATACCACTACCACCACCACTACCACCACCACCACCACCTCTACTACTAGAATCAGGAGAGAAGGAACATATAGATATGCCAGAGAAAGTTTAAGGTTTTGTGCCATACCTGGAGGTACTCTGAGCTTACTTCTGGCTCTGTGCTTCAGGGATCACTCCTGATATTGGTATTATAGTTGGTTTTTTTGGGGGGGCGGGACAGGCAACACATGGTGCTGCCCTCGCACCCCAGAACCAACAGATGACAAGAGATTGCCAGGAATCAACCTCAGTATCTTACACATGCAAAATATTCACTCTACAACTGAGCTATAGCTCCAACCCCAGATATCCTAGTTTTAAGTTATAATTCCCAGTTGCTTACAAATATTGATTTTCTGATTTATAGGATTACTGACTTATAGAGGGCATTTCCTGCAAACCATCAGCTGTGTTCCATAGATGAAACTACACTTATGGGGCCAGAGTAAAGGATAGTCTTACCATGATTTCCCTTGATATCGAGCCAAATGGTTTTTTCCATGACCCGTGTCTTCTTCAGAATACTGTCATAAGTTTGCCATTCTTCCTCTTGCTGTGTGGATCCCAAAGTTTCCTTTGTTTTGGCATCTGTTAGATCTCCTGATTTGCATAAGAATTCATTAATACTACAAAATAAATCCCAGAGGGTTCTTTTTTTTTTTAATGCACAATGAAGGAAACGATACTTTAAGTACTCCACATGTATAAAGCATAACCATTTATGGTCGCTTATGTCCAAATCAAGTCTTCTAAAATTAGATTTTCTAAGCAAGGGCCTTATTTGTTTCTAATAGGCTAACAAGTACTATTTGAAGGTTCAGTGATTTTACAAATGGTTGTGGGAAAAAGATATTAAGAGCACACTAAAAAATTCATCATGATCATTCTTTTAGCAAATTATTATAACAAGCAATATAAAATAAATTATTGAGGGCCTGCTATGGGGTGGTTGGCTTAAGGATTGAGGGGTGGCTGGGAAAACTGGAGCTAATGGTGGTGGAAAGGTGCAATGGTGGTGGAATTGGTGTTGGTATATTGAATGTCTCCAACAAATCATCATGAACAACTTTGTAAACCATAGTGTTTATATAAAGTCTAAAGGGTAGTGGGGGGGAAATTCATCATGAGAATCTGATAAGATGAAAACTCTAAGAAATTCTAACACTCTGGATAGGTAACAAAGTTTATGATGATCATATTTTCTAGCACCCAAGTCAGATCAAATATAGTGATCTGACCAAATATTATTATTTTGGTTTGGGGGCCACAGACAGCTGTGCTCAGGTCTGACTCTTGGTTCTCTAGTTAGCGGGGGTCACTCCTGGTAGTGCTTCAGGGACCATCTGCGGTACCAGGGATTGAACCCGGATTAGCGAGTACAAGGCAAGAAGAACCTACTGCACTGTCTCTCTGCCCACTTCCCCCCATCCCCAAATATTTTTACAGCAAGACACAATTTGGAAGATGCTAGTTTGGACAACAAAATGCTAAGATTTCTAGGAAGCTAGACAAACATATTGAAGTCTCCCATAAAATGAGGACTCATGGGGGCAGAGAGACACTACAGAGGGCAGGGCAAGTGCCCTGCCCCTGGTCAACCTGAGTTGAATTCCCAGGACCCCTTAAGGTCCCCTGAGCCCCGCACCAAGAGTAATCCTTAAGTACAAAGCCAGGAGTAAGCAGTGCACGGGTGTGGCCCCAAAACCAAACAAATAAATAAATAAAAATAAGCACAAATAAATAAATAAAAATATAGCAGCTGAGGTATTTCTTCCCCCTGCCCTCCTCCAACAGATAGGATAGATGCCTCTTCAGCCGTTTCTCCTCAGTTTGGGAACAAATAGTTGGGGTTTGAAGACTAGGGAACCCAAGTCATGGAAGCAGAAAGAGACAAAAGTAAATATTCTGTCACTTGAGACTTTTCAATGGATAATATAGGCTTGATTGCTCAGTGGGGTAAGTGAAGGCCATGCATAGAGAAGGCTCAGGTTCAATCCCCTGCACCACCGACAGCAACCCCCAGCACAGTGCCAGGAATCTCCATCCTAACACCACAGGATGTGCCCCCAAAACAAAACAAGAGATTGATGATAACTGTAAAGAAAATAATAAGAGAAATTTTTATTTGTGGTTAAGGAACTTTTCTGCTTCTCTCTGAAATCCAGAACTGCAACAACAGAAGACAGTGCCCCAACAAAAGAATGTTGAGTCTGGCGTGTCCCTTCATTTGAACCTTGGCTCTGTTCTCCAAAGGTGAACCGATGAATTCTCCAAATTCCCATCTCCTCTGCAGCGGGAAGGTGTCTCCCTTAAGGCTGCGACTGACCAGTTCTCAGTGTCCCCAACGTGCAAAGCTATTGGCTGACCACAGAACACGACAGCAGGACAGGACTTCCTACCTGTTGCTAGCACAAGAGCTGGCCGAATAACGTCAATGTTTTCAGAACAGAACTTCTCTAAGTCTATAGCTCTGCTTCGGCCGTAAAACTTGCTCAGGTGAATGTCGGATATCTGGCAGAAGGGGTCATTGAACAACAGACATCGGAGTCAGGAAGAGGCAGCGCTCAGAAACACCCGACTCGCTGCCGCGCGTGGAACCAAAGGGTCAAAATACTGTGCACACAACAAAGCCCCCTTCCCCCGCCCCCCCCCACACACAGCCCCCCGGGTTCGGAAATTGTGGGTGGGAGGGCGCGAATGGGCACGCGCTGCCGCTGCACTTGTCAAGGGCCCAGGTCTCGGCGCGCCGAGCCAGTTCTGCCCCGTCCCCGTGGGCATCGGGCTCCCGCCGCGTCACCTGCAGACCCCAGAAGATGTTGCTGCTTTCCGAGCCCGGCGCGGGCTGCGGGTTCCACGGGGCGCGGGGCGGCGGCGGCGGCGAGGGCGGCCCGGCCAGGCCGTAGTGCTCCAAGAGCACCGCCGCCAGCGCCGCAGCCGCCAGCCCCGTGAACAGCCTGAGGGCCAGCGCCGAAGCCATGCGGCCCGCCCGGGCAGCACCGGAGCCGTCCCGGGCCGGGTAGCCGGCGCCCCTACCCCCGGCTGCCGCTCTGGCCCCACTTCCGGACTCTATGGTCGCGTCTGCAGCCCGGCCCGTTGCGTCCAGGGTCCGCGCCGCCGCCCGCGTCTGCCGGCCGGCTGGAGTGAGGCCGGTGGGGAAAAAGAAACCGAGGCGCACCCCCGCCACCCGCCACACACACAACGTCACTGCTGTGGCCGCGGGTGGCGGGGAGGGAGCCCAGCAGGGCTGGAAGGCGGAAACCCGGTCCTGGCTCCGCCCCAGGCAAGCCTCCCTGACCGCGGTGGGTCGATTTCTGTGACCTGCATAAAACAGACTTAATAACCCCCACGCGCACTCACAGGGTTGAGAGGACGCCTTTTAAATTGCTCGGCAAAGAAGACAAGAGGATTTCTCTGGGCCCCTTCTGGTAATTAACAATGCCCGATATAGGTTTCCTGCAGATGTAATCCGTCTTGGGTTTTTGTTTTTTCCCTTACCCGATTTCATTCGCACTTCGCTATTTAATAGTTCAGCACAGTGATACGACATTCGATCAATAAACTGTGTTTCAGTGCATAGGAGGAATGTTGGAGTCTGGCCTTGTCCTTAAGTTATTTTACCATTTCCTTACTGAACTTTAGGTCATTATGTTTTAACCGTACTGGATAAACTTTTTTGAGTCAACATCCTGGATAAACATAGTGCTGGTCTGAATACTCTTTACAAATAGAACCTTATTAAAACTCCGATGTGGATTTTCTTGATAATGTATTTTTAGCATTAATTGCTTTTTGGGTGCCTTTAAAATTTGAGATTATTGAACTAAGCAAAAACTAGATGAAACCTGTAAGTAGCTAAAGAACTTGAGACGCTTATGTTGGGCAGAGAAATGCCCAAACAATTTATATAGCAAATGTGCATTTGCTACAAGAGGCAAATATAAAAAAGCTGGAAAAATAAGAGATATTACATCTTTGGAGAATCAGGGAAAGCTTCATAGTTACATATTAAGAATAGGATAATGTTTCTGAGTGGTAGTTTAGGGCTGAGATGGGGAAAAGCACTTTCCACAAAAAAAGACCTAACAACATATGCCAAAGCATTAAGGTGTCAAAAATGTTGGTGTTGACAAAGTGAGTACTTCAGGTGTACTGAAGGTGACTATATAGGGTGCCTAGAATTCAAACTGGGGTTTGCAGAATAGAAGTAAAGTGCCTTAAACCCCAGCCCTTGTGAAGAAGAAAGGAGAAGAAGGAAAGATGTTTCCAGTTCTAATCTGGAAGAGGACTTCATCACAATTCAACTATGCTGACACCTGATCTAGTCTCCAAAACCATGGGAAATGAATCTCTTTTGTTTATAAGGTCTGTGGCCTTTATTTATTTTTTTTAATTGAAACTGGAACTAAGGCATCCAGGTCATGAATAACTGCAAAGGTTGAAGGAATTAGGAGAGTATGGAAACAGATTAGAAAAGAAAATACATGTGAAGACAAAAAAAAAAAGAAAGAATACCAGCCTTGCAAGCCTCAGATGTTGAGTTTAATCTCCAGTGCTGCCACATGTGCCAGAAGAGATCCAGGCAGCTCTGTTATCTATGATCCCTGGGGCTGCAAGCCATTTCCAGCCATAGATGGGTGTGATTTAGCACTGCAACAAAGGAATGTGACACACATTCCCACCCCCAAACAGAACTATAATTAAAAGATGTTGAGCACAATGGCCATGAAGTTCAATCTCTAGAAAATGTGTGTGAATACCACAGAAACCCTGGTGAACACCAAAAAAAATGTGGAAATACCATAACTATGTGGAAATACCATAACTAAAGAATTTGTGTGCAGATCTCTGTGAGCACAAACCCTGTGTGCAAATTGTGTCCAAGCATAGTAACTTGATAGTGACCCCCAGCAAGCAACCACCACTGCCACGCGCGCACATGTGACCCTTTGTCAATGCAATAGCATCAACAACGATGAAGAAAGAGTGGGGAATTAAAAACAAATTTAGAACTTGATATGATATTTGAAGGAAGAAAGAAAAGATGGCTGTGCCAAAATTTGGAAACCTGGTAACTCAACCAGAACTATAGTATGTGTAGAGAGGATTGTCCCAATGAATAGCGTTTGGTTTCATCTAATACTACACCATTAAAAAACATCTAAATGTATATATTCAAACCAAATTTAGAAACAATGTTTAAATCAGAAACAATCTGATTTAAAATTCAATGTGGCATATGCAAAATTCTTTTGGAGATACCTTAGAGGGACCTCAAAATGTGAGAGTTTGGGGACATCTCTGAAGTGCATACTGCATACTTTACATGCAGAAACCCTGGGTTCAACCTGTAGCACTGCATGTTGTTCCCCCCCCAACTGCTACCACCCCTTCACACACACACACACACACACACACACACACACACACCGCCCAGATCTAGCAACAAGCAAGGAACAGTTCCCAAGCAAGCTGGGTCTGGAGAAAGAGAGAGAGAGAGAGTGTGAATGGTGGCTCTCAGTTTTTGCTATTCAAAGAGGAAAGTTCAGCTTCTTGATACCTCAAAGAGAACAAGAGGCAATCCACCTCGAAAGCAAACTTCCTTATAACTACAGACAAGAATTTATGATGGACATTGATAATACAGTACACATTTTTATCCAGTCGTAAGTTAACTATGACTCATAAAACATGACATATAAAATTTATCTTCGAGAGGCTGGAGAGATAATACATAGAGTGAGGCACTTTCCCTGAACATGAAGTACCTGGGTTCAACCCCCTGAGCCCTGGCAGGAGTGATCCCTGTTTACAAATCCAGGAGTAAGCTTTGACCACTGCCAGCTGTGACCTAAAAACAAAAACCCAACAATAACAATAAAGAACAAATTAAAAAATGAAAGTGGAATGTTTGATCTGAGATTATCATTAAAATAATCATTTACAAGTGGGCTATGAAATTATAGGTTTTATTTTATTTTCTTTGCTTTTTTGTTTTCTGAGTTTTCAGGAGTGACTAAGGAGAAGTGGGGAAAGCTATAATTTTGGGTTTGCAATTATTTTTTCTACAGAGGATGAGATGGTCAAGTTTTGTGCTTTATGCACTAGAAGCTGGAAGCTGTCATAGATGATGCACACTTGGATGAGGTGGCAGCTAGTCCAACATTTTATTTATGAGCACTGTCAGGTTGTATTTATGTATTTTTGTGATTTATAAGCTATTTCTTCTGAATTTTCCAACCATTCAAAAATGTAATGTCTTTTTTTTTTTAATCTTTCATCTTTTAATTTCTCATCAATCATTCACTGGCCACGGTGCTGGGAATAACTGGGCGAAACAGTTATGCTTTGCTTGGGGGTGGAGCCAATTGGTAGTTCCTTCGCTAGCCACGCCCCCCTCAGGCCGCGCTTAATTGGTCTCTGCAGTTTCTAGGGCGACAGTAAACAGCAATGTTTTCTTCTCTGTCACTCCAGTCACCCTTGTCATGATTATGATATGACGGTACCCCCTGAACAATGAATGCCTGCACAAGTGCTGCTGGTGTTGGCGACCTGGAGCCCAAGCAACAGGACCCAGAGAGGTGCCTGGGAGCGACTTGCCAGTCCGGTCTTGAGTGACCTGCACAAAGAATGGTCAAGTTCCAAAATAAGGAACCTCAAGCCAAACACTCAAGCGCCAAAAACTGACTTAGGGAAACTACTCAGTAACAAATAGACATTAATTAGTAGACATTAACTATTATACATTAATGCTTAGGGAAAGGGATGGACTGAGTTAAACAGCCAGGTACTTCCGCCGCTCTTCACAGAGGCTGAATTTCTGTCTACTGTTTCCATTCAGGTATGAATCCAATGCTATTGTTTAATAAGTAATAACCTTCACACACAACCAAGGTTCTGATGGTATGTCCTGAATTGCCCTGCAACTGAGACTAAAGCGCATGGTGTGGAAGAACAAGGAAGAAAAACTTGATCTACTCTCTTAGACTCAGTTATTGGGATCTAGTGAATTTAGCTGACAGCATGTTGACAATAGAAGTGGAATGCTGCAAATTCACTGACTTTTTTTTACCCTATGTGTTGACTAAAATAAGTTAAAAGTAGTTGGACTTGGACTCAACACAGGGTATTATCTTGACAAAGTAAAGACGGCTTGGACTTTAAGGGAGACCAATTTGAGGAGGCAACAAGGAAATAAATTGGAGAACTAAAGGAAAATAAGATGTATCTGAGGGACTATAGAGATAGTACAGCAAGTCGGGCACTTGCCTAGCATGTGACTGACCTGGGTTCAATCCCCAGCACCCCATATGGCCCCCTGAGCCCCACCAGGAGTGATCCCTGAGCACAGAGCAAGGAATAAGCCCAGAGAACCATTTGGTGTGACAAAAAAAAACTACAGTTATTTTAATGGGGGAAGGAAGGTTGATCCACAGTTGTCTATGCTATGGGTCCATTCCTAGCCAGCTACTGTTGGGGGTAGTGCTCCCAGTGATGCTCAGGGTTTCTATACAGTGACAGGGATTGAACCCAGGGCTTGTGCATGCGAAGCCTGCACTTTGACTTTTTGAGCTATCTCCCTAGACCAATAAGAGTTCTTTTTTCAATAAAGTAAAGGCCCCTCCCGTTGATCGTCGATTTGCTCGAGCGGGCCCAGTAACGTCTCCATTGGAGACTTTGTTGTTACTGTGTCTGGCATATCGAATACTCTCGGTAGCTTGCCGGGCTCTCCGAGAGGGGCGGAGGAATCGAACTCGGGTCGGCCATGTTGGCCGCGTGTAAGGCGAACGCCCTACCCGCTGTGCTATCGCTCCAGCCCCTTTTTTCTAGTCTACGGCCATACCACCCTGAACGCGCCCGATCTTTTTTCAATAAGATTTGTTTATTCAGACTCATCTTTTTTTTTTTTTTTTTTTTTGCTTTTTTGCTTTTTGGGTTACTCAGGGGTTACTCCTGGCTCTACACTCAGGAATTACACCTGGCTGTGCTCAGGGGACCATATGGGATGCTGAGAATCAAACCTGGGTCGGTCGTGTGCAAGGCAAACTCCCTACCCACTGTGCTATT